GATTTGGGCTCTAACTAAGACAAGAGGAGGAGTTTCGGAACCAAAATTTCATCATGTAGTAAACTTTAGGTGTACAACAGATTTATGTAAAAATTTTAAAAAACTTATGTGAATTGAAAGTTTTGCCCACCTCAGGTGGGCATTAGGTGGGCAATTGCCCACCTAATATGGAAAATAGTTGAGCACGCTCTTCATTCACATAAGTTTTTCATAATTTTTCATACATTGTTTACACACCAAGTCTCGCGCGATTTCGTTTTCTCTGCGCTGCAAACGAGCCATTTTTCCATTATCTTCATAGTGGGAAATTTTCAGAAAAAAGCTTGCCACAGCCTTCAGGCACATAGTTTTTCAATGGAACTTCTAAGTTAAGCCCTGCAGGCCCATCTTCATGTATCTACTAAGTTTCATATCGTATGGTCATCTGTGCGGCGCAATCGAGCCATTTGAATTCACATCTTCATTTACCAGTTTTGCAAAATTTTAGGAAAAAATGCTTATTACACCTCCCATTCACATAGATTTTTCATAATATTTCATACTTTGTTTCTACTAGCCTCTCTTTGTTCGCTTACGTAATTTGGTGCTATATCGTTACGCCTGCATTGAGAACTGATCATGTAATCATGCTTTTCAGCGCCACCACTTACGCGACATCGCGCGCGGCAATTAGCGGTGGCGCGACGTAGCGCGCGCGAACCCTGCTGTGTGTTGAGGCTTATCAAAACCACTTCCTAATGAATTAGATGTATAAGGTAATAAGCATGATTCGACCTTCTTTTGCTTGGAATCTTCTACCGGGGCTCTGCCCCGGACCCCGCAAAAACGATTTCCCCCTTGCTTTTTCCACCAAAAACGATTTCCAGCTTGTCATTTGCCCACCTCGTGCCGGGCCCTGAATGCATATATTTGGCTTTGATATTTTTCAATTTTTCAAAGATAGCAAAGAGAGCAAAAAACAAAATTTTTGAGGTTCGATCTTTTATTTTCGACGGTTCTTAACTTCAAGATAAAAAAAATGTACAAAAGCGACAGCATTCATAGGCAACTAAAAGAAACGTCTTTTGAGATATTAGGTTGGCACGAAAGTTCTTGCGTAATTCAAACAAAATTCATTAACTTTTCAAAGACTAAACCTAAATTCAGAATCTTGTATGCTAAAAATATTAGAAGCCTTACGCTTCATGACGGAAGTTCAAGCACAACATTCCATAAGCTAGTCCTCGAGAACGAAGCTCTCAAATATGGGGCAAATTTTGCGATTTTGAGTTTGGTGGCAGAAAATCGCAAAGAGCCGCTAGCTAGCCGAAAAAAATCTGTGGAGTTTACTTACACAGCAAAAGTCTATGCGTTATTTTAGCAGGCTTTGATCTCGCATGGAAATGCTAAAACAAAAAATTTGTGAAATTTCTCATTTCACGGGGCAAATCCCCTTATCGCTCTAATTTTTCCATAGAAACGCAGTTTGCAACCAGAAATTAGACATATTGCCTGTCTAGAGCCTTGCGACGTTTTCTCGATTGTAAAGTGTTTTCGCCGGAAAACTGCGGACGTAAGGGGATTTTTTTCGCAAAATGACATATTTTACGAACTTTTTGTTTTTGCTTCACCATGCAAGATCAAAGCCTTCCAAAGTAACATATGGACTTTTGTTGTGTAAATAAATTCTACAGATTTTTTTTTGGAGAACTAGCGGCAATCTGCGATTTTCTGGCACCAAACTCAAAATCGCAAAATTTCAAGTTCCATATTCGAGAGCTTCGTTCTTGACGTCCAATTATGGAATCTTATGCTCAAGCAACCATCATGAAGCATAAGGCTTCTAATATTTTTAGCATACAAGATTGTGAATTTAGGTTTAGTCTTTGAAAAGTTATTGAATTTTGTTTGAATTACGCAAGAACTTTCGTGCCAACCTAATATCATGAAAAGTCTGTTTTGAGGACCAGCGTTTCAAAAAAGAAGTAAGACTTGTATTAATCATAAATACTAATATAATATTAGGTCATTTTGAAAGTGTCCGTCGTCTCTCAGAAAATCATCACTTCCTTTCTTTTCGATAGAATTCTTCAAAATTACTTTTGTTTGAAAGAGGAAACCATGTTCTTTACACCAGTGCCTCTCGCCTGAATTAGTATGGAAAAACTCAGGTTTAGAAGCAATTGAAGAGACTTTATGATTAGCATTTTAGCAGGGCCACAGAATAAATTTTAAATGTATTTTTAAAATTTTGCACATTGTTGCATCCATTGCAAAGGTGCCACATTATAGTGGCACCTTCGCAATGAATTAGTATGAGACATTTCGAAAGTTAGAAGCGAAAAGAGAAGTGACCACCGGAACAATCACAAACATAGGATGTATGAACTCTTCTTCCAAGTTGGGTAGAATTGTTGCCGATAGAGAGCAGGTTGATTTTTGTGAAACACAGGGCGTTTTACTAAAGAATCATAACTTTTGATAGGGACATTCGTTCGGCACGAATTTAGTACAGCTAGAAGGAGGAGATCATAATCATATGTTGTTTGTTCGGTTCTAGTGACGTTTTCGGAATTGGGTGAGCTCGCATAAAGTCACCAGAGTCTGAGTAATCTTCTTCTTGCATATTTGACTCTGCGACTTCTGCTTAGTTAGTAGAACGCCATAGTTGGAAACTACATAATTTCTTTGACCTAAAAAATTTTATAGGCAAATCCAGGCAGATAGTAGGGAGCTACAATTTTTCGAAAATTAGTGCGAACGAAGTTCTGAAACTCCTAATATATCCAAAAGGGAAAGGGGAGTAATTGGTCTTGAAATTTTCCAAAATGATCTACAAGTTTTGGGTGAATTTTAAAATAATTTTCAAAATTTCTAAAATAATGGTGAGGTGAGGTTGTAGCTCACGCCTGCTTCTGCTACAAAATTGAGGAATTACAAGAATGGAATCGCAGAAATTTAACCATCTCCGAATTTCTTTTTGGAGGGAGTGGCTAGGCGCTTGTGGACCCAGAATTTTTGTCCCTCTTCTACCCCCCCCCCCCCTCCTCTTCCCGAAATTGGTTTCTCGCAGCGCTGCTGCTTTTCATGTCTTAATAAATCTCTTCTCTCTGCTCTCGCTGTTCTTCAATCCTTTTCTTTCTCACACATACCTATCTTTTCACAATACCGCACAGTAAGCAAAACAAAATTTTCTTTCTAATCCAACTATTGTGAAAATAATCTGAAGCTAATGATTTGAAATAATTACCGAAACAGTTTGGAACTATTATTTTCTAGATAACAATTTTTTAATAATCCCTGATAACTTAAAATAATTTGATAGAAATGTACCAAATAAGGAGGGGGGTCGGGGAATAGTAGGTTTTGGTTTGGTTTCCTTCCCCTTCATGAAATTTTTTTCGGATTTGTCACTGTTTACGTTTTGTGACGATGAATGCAATTGCTACTGTTCATAGTCTCCTCAAAAACCAAGATCTTTTCTACCTAGAGACTATTAATTTGTCCAGATTGTTCAAAGTTAGAAGAATGGGTCTGAATACGTACAGTCCGTGTCAATCACGAGCTCTCTTTTCCATAAACGCAATTCGCGCCGTTCGCAGCGCATGACTTAAGCATTCAAATAGGCGTCATCGATTGGAGGTCCGCACGCACGGTCATTGCAATGCGCGTGCGTAGTTCCTTTGCGAAAAGAAGTACGTAATTGACACTGACTGTAAGCAGAACGATTTTGACTTAATTCTTTTTATCATTTTTTTAATTTTATCTATTTTCTGGATTTCAAATCTATAAATGAAGGACACCGATTAACAAAAGGTCCAATTTACTCAAAAAAATTTTTTTTCAGTAATTCTTCCTTCTCGGGAAAGAAGCCGAGATTGGTTTCAGCTGCGCAAACAAAACCAAAATGAAACCCGTTGAAGGAAATGGGCGATTTTTATCATCTCCCTTGTAAATGAGATGGTCATTCTTGTCTTGACTTATTCTAACTCAGTGACTAAGTTCTTGCCACTCACTCTTATTTCACTTGTTACATTGCATAATCTTGTGTCCCCATTTCACTGTTTTTATTGCCATATCATCTTTGAAATTATCACTATTTCTGTTCCGAGACCAGTAATGTTTTAAACGTCGATCACACTGTTTCATCTGCTATTTTAATTTACATATCGCCTTCTCTCATATCGCTTGGAATTTCTTCCTAATATTTGCCGTTTTATGTCCGAGTTAACATATTCGCTCATGAATGTTTGAACTATTTCCGTATTCTACGTATATATTCGTACATTCCTTAATCACCCTTTGATTCTCGATCTCGCTGATCTGTGTTTGACCTCAAGGCAATAATCGAACTCTCTCTCTCTTTCTCTCTCTCTCTCTCCCTCTCTCTCTCTCTCTCTCTCTCTCTCTCTCTCTCTCTCTCTCTCTCTCTCTCTCTCTCTCTCTGACGGTCTGTTGTTCTTATACAATGCCTTTGCATAGAAATATAAACTGTGCCATTTATTTTCCAGTAAATACCTCGTTGTTGCTGTCCTATTTATCGTCTTGATAAGAATTTCTACATTAGAGAAAGCTCACTCTAAAGCGGAAATTTAGTATCCCAAAAGGAAGCTCGATATGGAGGAAGCGGATCGCGAATCAAAAGCGAAGACCGCACATTGCTGCGAAATCCCAAACAATGTGCTGCGGAGACCCTCCGCACTTCATTAAAGCGGTTCCGCAGCGCTTTCGCAGGGTTTCCGCGTATGAACCGGCGGAAATGCTGAGAAAGAACTGCGGATGTTCTGGCCAGTTATCTGTGGTAATTGGGCACACACTTCTCCATTTTATTCCCGTTAGAAAAAAAGGACTTCACAATTAGATTGCTCGATGGGTAGTCAGTGAAAATTAAGTTCCTTTGGTCGTTTTATATACCATTTCCAATGAAAATATATTTTGCTAAGATTTATTTTGCTCGTTACCGCTTATGAATGCAGTTTGTGGGTGATCTACGACGCTAATCATACAGCTTATGTTTCCAGGGTTCACGAATGCACGTTGAACTCCATAATGCCATATCAAATACGGGTATCCCGACTGATTACGGCTTTAGGTCAGTGCAGATGGCTGTCACGGCTCGAGTTCTCGACAGCCGAACGAATCAGCATATAGTCACCTCGGCAACGCGCGCCATGACGCCTCAGTCTCGATATAACTGACCTTGTCCTTTGCCAGCCACTTTTACTCAATTTCGTTGCAAGCACTTGTAGGGCAGTAAGTTATTAAACACTCATTGTTAGCGGCTGAATCTACTTACCAAAGTTTCGGCTTGACTACTAACATAGACTCAAAATGCAGAAGTCAAAAGAATATTTCTTTTTATACATGTTCATGGATCTTTCCTACTGCTCCCTCCCATATTTGACGTGATATACAGAGCAAATTATGCATTAGCGTGAGTTCATACAATTAGCGATTTGGTGCATTATTCAATTGTCTATTTTTGCCATGGCATGCACACAAATTATCATGCGATTTTTAGATGTATAAAGGTTTATCGTTGTTTTTCTTCAAAAAGGCCAAACACAATGCTTTTGTTTTACAGATATACGAAATATGCAATGAACACTGAGTTGAGACTTCGGAGCAATCGGTCTTGAGTATCAAATTAAATGTTCTTGATTTTGCTCACCCCATGAACATTCTTAAAGACTAAAAAATCAGAAGGAAGTAGCTGTCATGGCAGCAATCTGGACGCCCTTTTTTATCTGATACAATGGGGCCGTTTATCTGAAAGCAATTGACCATTGTGTTAATTTTAGCGCTAATATTCGGATAAACCTTAATATTTGACGTGGGAAGCTTACTTTTGCCAAGACTTCTTTTTACAGTAAAAGTCTTCGATTCAGGCTATAACGTTTTGCGTCAAATCTATTTGGATTCTGTTGCATGGACTCGGTGAACAAGACACTCTCATCTACGCAGCATTTGCTTGAAGCTATCGAACAAGTGAGTCAGCACCTCATTTATTTTTTAGGATATGAGACACTAAGTCTTCTTTCGAGGGAGTTTCTACTATTATGGACTATTGTAGATTATCTAGTTGCAGGACGACGCCTTACTTGACGACCAATATTTTATGCGAAAATTGGAGTATCTGCGAATGAAGCACAGAGAAACCAGCGACTTTCTTTCACGAATCCTTCAGCAAGAAGAGTGTTTGCCACCATCGACCTCCACCTGCACTTGCAATGGAGGCCATTTTGCCCTTCCGAGTGAATGGTCGTTCTCTGGCAGTGTCTCCGCAAAGATTGTTACGAAAAATGGCAAAGAGCGTGCCCATTCGGCTAAGTCCGCTACGAGGAAAAAGCAACAGGAAATGGCCAGAGCAGCGCTGGAAGCGTACAGTTCCATAGAAAGAAAAGTGGAAGAAAAAAGGTAAGCGGTGCTTTGTACGCTACGCTATCTGAAAGAAATTCTTTTGAAGAATCAATTCTTTATACAGTACGCTTCTTACCTTTTACACAAAAGCATATTTTAGTGCCTCCACCGCCTTTTCAAGTGCGTCAAAAGCTGAACTTACTTATACATCTCATTCGACAAAAAAATAGCGATAATGCTCCATGTTTAGCGATTTATGAGGGGTTTACCTTTTACTCCTACGCTGACTCTTCATTCTGTTTAACAAATTTGGAAAGAAATGAAAGAACCATAAGAGCTCTTTGAAATTCCGCAGACTTTTTCATGTGTATCGTATTATGATCGACTAGTTAGAAAACCGTTGCTGGATACCGATAACAAATATTGGATTTTCTCATTGCGAACTCAGTGTCCTCCATCGAATGCTTCTTGACCTTTTGCAAGAATGTCATGCACGTTCTTAATTTGGTTAACGGATACTTTACTGCTAATACAGAGAATTTCATACGCAGATGATTTGATTTAATTGACAAATGATTTCATACGCAGCTTTATCATTGCTGCTACATTAGGCTAGATCTGTAAGATCTAAAAGTTATTTATATTGCATTCTCACTCAAATTTTTCGACATCTGAAATCTTTGGTAACTCTGTAGATCAGAAACTGCAGTGAACAGTAATTTCTGCAGCGCATAATTCCATTGAGGCGCTCTAAATTTTATGAGACTTCAATTATATTCATCGCAGCACTAGAGAGCTTTTGTGGAAACGGCATGCACAACAAAGAAAGTTGGAAGGAGGCAAAAGAAAGCTTTTACCTCCATTTCCCTAAGAAGCTCTTATAATAGGGCAACTAAACGCTCTGATACGTATGGACCAGCAAGTCATCTCTTGCTCAAAAGTGATTACTGAAGTGTAGAATGATAATTAGCATACAATGCGGCAATTTGTTTGCAAATACAATCGATGACATCCCTCCTTTTCTCTTTTTGTCCATGTTGACACCTTTCACAAAGATTTTTTACATTGACATCATGACTTAGCTCTCACAGCTTCATCAGACCCTTTCCTACAGTTTCTTGGAATAGTAAAGTCTTAAAAGTCATAAACTATTTGCCAAAACAATCCATTGAGCTTTCTGCTGCTATAGCTGCTATATCAAATCCTCATTTTTCGAACAATGCAGCGGTTGTAGTGTAGAATATGAAGATAATGCGCTGTGATACATATTTCTATATCTTACATTTTCTTATAGTGAACTAAAAAAGGACCACACTATGCCTTTTTGGATGAGTCATTTGCAATTATCTTCGGCAAGTCATTTCAGCAGACATGTGTCAATATCTTCTAATTTGATCCCTGACCGAGAATCTTGTCTTGGCGTCTGAGCAGGACAGACAAAGTATAAACATTTTTCTGAGTCGAGAATTACCGTGTCACATTGATTTCTTTTCGAGCAAGTGCTTCAAATCATTGACGAAGCGGAATGCTGCAAATGAAGGCAGAAAGTTGCATCTCCGTCTAGTAGTTGTGTAATGCCAGGCGTTGCTAGGAAAGTGCAAAGTAGATGTTGGGAGTTACCTGCTGTCCAATTTCTTTGACTTGCGGAGGTAATTCTCGTTTTAAAAACACTATGAGTCTTCTTATAGTGGAAGGATGGAGGCGAATTGCTCAACAGATTTCGTAAAAGCTCAACAAGCTTTTGGAAAAAAACAAAATTGAACCTTTAGCGCAGTTAGTGCCAGCTAGTGCAAAGACTAAATAGTTAGATCATATTTTTGACTAGAGCACTCTGATACTGAGGAGATGGTGATTCATCCAACTGGCTGCGCCTTAGACAGGTATTTGATCTTTTTGCATTTCTAAGTACCAATTGTTGAAGTCAATTCGGCATGGCACATACACATATTTATACAAGATACAAAAAATAACTGCGAAGCGAAAATACATTTTTTTACGAAGTTATTCACCATTTCACTCACCTATTCAGAGTCTGCTGACTTAGAAACGCGAAAAAATGGTTGTCATCACCAAGTATCTCCCCGGTCAGTGCATTACCGTAAGCATACCACATATAATTTTCGGGTGCTGCTTGTAGGTCTTCGGTCCGATGTTACATTGTTTGGGCGATAGAGCTGTTGTACTGCAAATTTCAGCGGCTTATTGTTGAACATTTATGAATCACTGAACCTACAGCAATTTCTTTCGATCGGCTATAGAAACACATCGGGAAAATCGTGCACCCTTGTCAATGCCGATTTCCTGATTTACTCGCGTTATCGGGAGCTATTACTTATGTAATAGAGACCAAAACCAACTTTCTCCATCGCAATAATCCTCATGATTACAGCGAGTTAGAAATGAACATCCATTATATACCCGCTATTTTGTGAGAGTTACCGATGATACAGTTTGTAGAAAGCTTCCTCGACAAATGACATTTTCGTGCAGTATCGTCCTCACTCAAAAGTCAAAGAAGCTTGAGCGCTTGAAAAATGAGAGAAAGCCTCTTTTGCTAAGCTCTGAGGGGTACCGTATCACTGATGAACTTCTACAAAGACTTCAACCTTGTAATAAAACCCACTATCTGCTTAAGACGGCACAAGCGATTGAATGCCAATTTTTTTGTATTATAGAACCTGTAGCACAGTTTTTCAGTTTGGTAACGTTGGTAAAAAAGCCACAACACCTCTACTTCAAAATGTACAAGAAATTTGGTTTGCTGAAAATTTTGAGTGTTAAATTTTTCATAAGAACGGATCATTGTTTAGCCGAAATGTGAGCAAATCCACACTTCTGTTCGTGTTTTCTCAATAAATGATTTAAAGGAAATCGTAATCTTTTGTTCAAAATTAGAAACAAGCAAAACCACAATAACCTCTCCAGATTGCTCTCCTATAAGTAGTGTATAGTCGAAGGATAAATTCAAACGATATTTGGAGACATTTATCTACATATGCATTAATCCGTAGCTAAATGTTTCCCTTTTTGCCAATTTCTAGGGATGTTTTTTTTGACAGCTTTATACTAATGTGTTAAATACTAATGGTGCTTTGCAAACGTAATAAACTTGTGCAGCGGTTACCATCCAAGCGACTCTTCCTGGAATTTTGAAGACTGATACAATGTTGAATTATTCACGGCGTTTGCAATAGTCAAAACGACTGTTCTCACCTAACTACATAACTCTAGAATGCCTTTGTATATCTCCATCTGTACTTCAACGTTGGAACAAAAAAGTGGAATTTTTCCTGTGTTAAACCTTACTGAGATACTGCACGGAATATTCATTACCAAATACATTTATCCCTTTGCACACGGAGGTAGTTTTGAGACCACTTCTCGGTAATACTACATAGACCGAGCACCATGAAGTTGAAATTTTTATTCATAAAAGATACTAGTTGATAGAAAAGATTTTTTTTCAAAGTTCGATGTCACTACCTACATTCACTCTGATGGCGCCTTCTGCCGGCACTACTTGTTTATGCCGGTGCGCAATACTGATCTTGCGTTGCCAGAATTGATTGAGGGGAAAAATTTGAGTAAATTTCGAAAATGGGTAAAGGACGATATTGTTGGAAGGCTCTACCCGCGCAGGTAGCTGGACAAGACGTAGTGTCCAGGTATATGCTTGGTTTCAAGTCTGCGCACCTCCGCGAATTACCGTCCTTACTCTAAAATGACGGTTCAATTTTCGAAAATTCAACCTACAAAACGGTAGTTTTTGTTGATAGAACGCAAAAGATGATCTGTGGAGCGTGACTGTAAACATACATACTTGAATATAAGGCAATTTAGGCAGCAACAAGCTGAGAAGCGATCCAAAGAAAAAGTGCATAGAAAAAGTTCGAAAGAAAAGAAGAGATATGAGAAGACTACAAAATTGAAGCAGGATTGGGAGCAGTGCTACTCGGAAACCCGGGAGCAGATCGAACGACTCAAGCATCAAATCGAGGATGAGGAGTTCTACAGAGAAACGGAAATGGAAAGCCGAAGAAGACAAGACGAACAAATGGATAGTCATGAAGAAAGCTTTGAAGAGAAAAGTCCACAGCGAGCAATTAGTGGAGAGGATGGGCAACAAATGCTGACCTCTGGCAAGGAAGTCATTCAGTGTGAGTATTGCATAATTAATTTGTAATTGCTTGCAAATTTTGAATAAGGATCCAAATTTACGGCCATTCGAGCGTGGCCAACGGATGTTACCTTGCTTTTTTGTGTATAGAAAAGAAGTGCAAGTTAGTTCAAGTACATTAACCTTACATTACTTGACCGGTCTTACCTAACCAACTTTAGTCAATTATCATCAACAAGAATTTTGGCCCAAGTGCAAAATGTGAAGTATTTCTACTTGGTGCCTACGTAACTGCATTGTTTCCAGATGAACCAAGTAAACAGAAAGAGAAGACAGAAAAGGAGGAGGCGAATGATGAAAGTAAGTCCCAATCAAACAGATAGGTTCTTTAAACGTTCAAATTAGTTTTTTTAGGCAAAAATATAAGAATAGTAGCTGAACCTGTCAAACCTGCTCGTTCAAAAAGTATGGTCGAAATAAGAAAACCAAAAACGTACACGACATCTTTCGCATCCACGTCAAAAAGGGCCGTGGTGCCAAAGCCGGTGGAGAATTTTGTGCCACAGATCACAGTGCCTCAACCGTTCAATGTATCCACAAGGTATACACACAAAACTTTCTGAGATTCTCAAACTCCTACAAAAAAAACTTTTCCAGAAAACCTATCGTCAACACCTATTCAACGAAATTTGTTGAAGAAATGGTATCCAAAAAGAAGGAAGAGGAGCAACAAGTGGAAAACCAGGCAAGCAGATCTAAACCGTGAGTACTATTCGGACAAGATTTCTGCTTTATTGAGGTTCAAGAGTTAAAGAAAGTATAGTCAATTTACAGTTTCACAGCACACACAGTACCTCTCTCCACTTATATTTCGACCAACCCTCGAGTGATGGACAAAGCTTATGTTGAAGTGGGTTTTCTTCATTGATATTGAAGCTTTTCTATCCACTCGGTTTTTAGGCCATACGGAAACGACTAACGGCAAATCTGCGGAAGCACTTCCAAGAGGAAGCCCAGATGAGAAAATCAAAGAGCCTAGGAGATATATCAAGTGAGCAATTAAGCTTTGGAGATTAGTAGCCTAATAATGAGGTTAACAATGAAATTTGTTTCTCACAAAAATTGTTATCTACATTACTTCGAGATAAGCAGCTTTATTCGAGGGCGTATTCATCTTTCAAAAGGTTTTCCATTACAATACAGGGTATTTCAAAAAAATGTGCCTACTGTTTGACTGTTAATAACCTCTTGCATAAAGTTTTGGGAGTAGCTTTGAATACCATTTTGTGGAGCTGGTTTCAACTTTCAGATTACGATTAGCTTTATAATATGATGAGAATTTAATCTCTCTTTATCACTGTAGGATTACGCGGAACTTTAAAGGGGGTTTTGAGCCTAAAAGGGTCATATTTTGGCTAGGAGAAAACACAAAACGATCTAAAAACTCTCACACCGGGCTATTTAGAGCTGCTGGTTTGAAATAAAAAGCTTGTATCTTATTATAACGCTTTCTCAGAAAGTTAAGCCGGGTAAGCAGTAGCGGCGTCTTCTCGATGCTGCTAAAAATGTGGCTACACCTTTTAAAAAAGGGCTTCAGAGTCATGTACAAGTAGGGTATTGAACTCGACGTCAATAATAACGTATTGGACAAATTATCAGATTTTTTGACTTTCAGAATGGCAGATTGTTCACAGTGACGCCAAATGCCGAAAGTTCCTAGCGTAATTTCAAAGTAATGAAGAGAGATTGGTGATTCGCATCATACTGTAAAGCTAAGTTGCACCCAGACGAAATGGTTCTTGATGATTCTTGAAAGACTTCATTACTAGAGAGTTATTAAAAACTGAACAGTACCCACATTTTTGGGACACCCTTACAATTCCTCTTCAAAGATTTATAAGCTGGTGACTGATTGATAAGAAACATGTTTTTTAGCAATAAGTAACAAACACTTGGAATAACTTCTTTTTTCATCAGTCTGAGCTAGCGTTCCCAACGATTACTCATACTTCTTTGAGGATAAATGAATACTTGGTTCGGAATGGGCAGCAACCACGCGTAAGGGTAACGCTGTGTCCAACTACAATGGCTATAAAAATAGGATATTCCCTGGGAATATGCGCTATAACCTGAATATGTGATGCTACATCATTACAGGGTTATACAGTACATCAAATTTCTCAAAGTCACGAAGACATCGAAATCAGATTAAGTTCAGCATTGTATACTTAATGTAATGCAGTGATCTTTCTTTTACAATAAATGAGAGGTAATTTACATTTATAAGCTTCAACTACCATTTGAGAACTGCCTTGCGCATGAGGAAAATTCTTGTAAATCGGCATATTAAAGGCATTGTCCTAGTCCACTAGGGTGAGGTAGGATCTTGACGCAGTACGAGAGCGCAGTTCGTGGCAAACCCAACAGTTGAAGTCCTATAAAAAATGTGGATTCCGAAGCGAGAAAATTGCTCCGGAGAGTCTACAAAAAGGGGTGGTACTCTAATTCCACCCCCAGTTGGAGAAATCCCTGCCCATCCAGCTTTTGTTATAGCTACAGCAAAGAGGAATATTATTTACATATTATTATTAATATTATTTCACGCACTAATATTATTTACATATATCTCATCCATCGCTCTTCCGAGAACCCACGAAAAAGGGGGTTTTGTGATTTATAGATAGTTTGAGGGTCAGGTTAGGATTCAAGAAGCCGAGAACAGTCAAAAGTGTCTAAGATGCCAGAGGTGAAATTCTACTTGGACAGTGCTTTTAAGCTCTCCAAGGATAGAGTCTCGAACCTTCACGCCAAGTTTCCTGAATGTTTCAGCCAAAGAAGAAATGTCCGAGACCACCGAATCTTTAAGATGTCTGGATATGAGTAGCAGTCAATGTGTTACCGTTTAGATTTGGCTCGACCTGTGCCATTGTCCACTTATGTGCCACCGAACCAACTTCCAGACTATCGCCGAGCTCGCAGCGCCAACAGGAGATCTGTGAAACTTCTTGTGGATGCAAAAACACCGGCTTTGAACAATGTTGGATCTAACTGTTTATAGCATTCTCATCAACATTGAAATGAAATTTAGGAGCATGAAATCCGCTCCAACGTGAGCACAAAGGTGCGTCACATACTTTGCGTCGAGGGCAACAAAGAGCGAAAACATCCACGGCCAGAAGTTCCGAACTTTCAAAAACTTCATGAAGAAGTGGGGAGCATTTGCTTTTTCAAGCATGCTTTGCACTTACCTACTACTTTATAGATGGAAGAGAAATTGAGAAATGCCCCTCACAAAGCTGTAACTGTGCCAAGACCTTTCCATCTAAGCGAGTCTTCAGAACATCGTCATCAACAAGTCCGTTCTTCCTTTCTTCTCCAGACCCCCTTGTAATTGTCTATACGATTCTAGTGCAAATCGACATCGCCACCACGGAACAGGACCAAGTACACCAGGAAGGACACTAAAAATGAGGTCGTTGTACGTTCTACTCACTCCTCAAAAATACGAATGGAAGCTATTAGGTGCGAAAAATAACCCGCATATTCTTGACGGGTTTTGCACCAATCGTTCATGTTCTAGGCAACGAGAGCAGAAACTTTACGAAGAACGCCACAAATCACAGAAATTCTGGGAAGAGAGGAAGGATGAAATGGACATGAGCCGAATGAAATTATTGTCTTCAATCGGATCACTAAATAACATTCATGAGGATATCGAAAGGAAAACTGCAGAGAAGAGGTTTGTCTGTTAGAAAAGGTTTGAATTTATATACAGGCTATGGATCACTGGGCTGAACTCAACCCTAGTGCACTATAATGGGTTCGTTAACCATTTTTAGCTCCATTAATGGCGTTTTCTGTAGCTATAGTTAAAAGGAAATTTTTTTCCGCAACAAAGTGGGTAAAAAGCTGTTTTCAGGAAGCACATACAGGAAACTACCAAGGAATACGAAAAGTACCTGGCAGAGATGCAGCAAAGGTCTGGTTTACAGGTTCTTTTTTCAATGAAATCTTTTTCAAACAAAACTCTCGTTAAGGATAATTGATAGACCACTCATCATGGAGCAGCAAGTAGTCCTGGCGCAGAAACAAAAGTTTGCCAGACAATTTGAAAAGCGAATGGCAGAAGCAGAAACGGTAATCAAGCTCTATTTTAAAAGTCCACAAATATGCTTGTCCAGGAACGCAAGACGCCACAAACCTTGAAGATGCTGACCGAACGCAAGGGCTCAGACATCTCCGCTGGGACCTACTCTGTGAAGTCGAAGAGCGAACAGACATTGGGCGACGAAGTACGTTTATATTCATCAATCCAGAAATTCATCAACTGGGTCTTTGTTGGATCGTTAGGTTCAAAAAAAAAACTCCTTAAACTTCTTCGGGTACACTTCATTTGTTAGAACGCTATGGCTGAAAAGCATTTCCTCAAGCTTCTCGACAGATTTTTTCCTTTTTCTTATTTTGATTTCACATTTTGTATGATGAAAAGTGCACATTTATGAAATTTTGAAAAATAATTTTATCATATTTTTTGCGAAATTCCAAGCAAGGTTATGAGGAATTGGTTCCATTCAAAAATCTGGCTGTTTACCTCTTTTTTCTGAATCATTGCCAAATCTTTTTCGCAAAGCTTTCGCTTTCAGGTATCTCCTGCGGTCTGTGTGAATAGCTAGAGATTATAGCATTAGAGCCACATTGAAAGCTGAGGAAAATAACATACTATGTATACATATTAAGGCTGAGACCTTAATTATTCTTCTCTATCAAAAATTATCGTTTTTTTTTCGAATTAATTTCTTCATATTTCTAAATGTAAAACCTGTTATGCGCACTTGTTCTTACTACAACGTTGTAAGTTTTTCACCTGTAAATGCCTATTCTAGGAACTCACTAACGGGACTTATGCAATTGAGCAAGACTCGCTGGAACGTAAAAAACAGTCAAGCAGGGCTTCGTCTGCGTCCTCGTCGTCATCGTCATCATCGAGTAGTTCATCAGAAAGCGACTCGTCTACGACTTCATCATCAAGTCGTTCGCATCACTCATCAGACTCACAGTCAGAGGGAACCGACAATCATGGTTGATTAGATAGAAGATATTTGCGGCACCTTGGCCAAATGAACATACGTACTGCCGTAAGTTAGAATAGGTTGTTATGCGGGGTGAATCTTAGGGTTCGAAAAGTTCTCGGTCTCCATCTTACTGTTTTTTCTGCGTGCTTATGTTATTACGTATGCCGGAGACCTTATATAGGTGCCAATGAAGTTTCATATCATTAAGTTGTATTTGTATGTCCTTTTCCAAGAGATGATGTTAGACGCAGCTGCTGCAGCATTATTGTCATCCTAAAATGCTGGTAAACCTCTGAACAAGGGCCACATCTTTCCGTCTGGTGATCACGCAAGACAGTTGCATGAAAAAACCACTGTGCTGCGTTCTCAACGATGTTGATTTTTTTGCACATCGTTTAAGATGTGAATTTTTGCTGTAGAATAAGGGCGAATTACAGGCGTCAGGATAAACCTTTACCTGATGTATAGCGAGGTTTACATTAGTCTCACTATAATCTTTTTTATATAAAATATATACAAAAGGGGAAAGGGAAAAGGAGGAAAAGGGAACCGTCTCGTGCCGGTGGACGGAGTCACTGCCAGAGGTTGTCTTAAAGGCAGCGTCCGGGCAAAATTTCGCTTCTCATGTTTCTGCCATTCTGGGGCCTTTCCGTGGCCCTATTACAGTTGTAAAGTTCAAATTGTTCAAAACTCCCAAAAAACCCGGTTCTTGGGGACCCTCTCTTCAAGGAGCGGACGAGTTTCGAATTGCTCGTTCCCATTGTCATGCCAGCGGAAGGAGCTGCAACTGCACGGATGCAGTTGCATTGCAGTGTGCAGTGCAACTGCAATGCAACTGCACTCCTGCGTAAGCACTCGTCCTCACGGGTGGTTTGTGATACGAAGGGACGGCTTGTGATACGTATCACAGGCCCGTATCTCCTCTTAGAGGGCACGTCAAAGGATCGGACCAACGCAGATCGGATACTCATGGGCCCCTCTTTACAACTTTGTGCTAATCTGGGTGGATGGATCTTGCCTGGACGCTGCCTTCAAGCCAACCTCCATCGCGAGCAATTGTAGGGTATTAGCTGCGTCCCGACACTGTTGTACCAAACCATGCATTTGAACTTCTTGCCATCTAAAACAAGACTGGATCATTTTTTCTGCACGCAGCAGTTAGCTATCCATCAATATCGTTCGTATACACTTAGCGCATCACCTTATTTTTATTCTTCAAATTATTAAAACCGTAATTACAGACCAATTACTCTCAGAATGGTCACAGAAGATACGCACTCACTTGTTTTTTGTGGATAATTGAACAGATAAAGCAAAAGTTATGTAAATCTGTAAGAAACGATAGTCAAAGCCTTGAAAATGTCCAATTACTCTGAAATTTAGAAGCCATTCTGGTTGTTTTCTTCGAATATCTATTCGAGTGATCGAAAAGTAATGGGGCACCTAGTAAATGCACTTTTTTCGAAAAGAAATAATTGGACGCCAAGTTTTGGCAAATGTTAGTTCATACCCAGAAACTACCGACGAGGTCTATTGATGTGCACAGTAGCATGGCGTAATCTTTTACAAATGCTTGTTATCAAAGCTCATCACTCCGAATATTTTCGAACTTTGAGGAGCGGTGCCGCAGTGAAAAAGGTGAGGCTACCAAAATTATCTGCACTGCAATGGGTGAGAGGACTTTCACCAAATCACGATAGCCTTGTGGTCTCAACGCTTTGCGACAGAAGTGGTGTCAGGATAACCTGCGAAGACCACTTTTTACGGAAGCGCTTGTATTGCTGGTTGTTTATAGTATCAGAAAAATCTTGAAATAAAGAAAAGCATGGTGTCCCATTATCGTTGGATCACCTAATAGTAACTTGCAATAGCAGATGATAGGATCAGATTGATGGATGATTCTCTTTGTTTGGCAATCTCGAAAGATGTCTGTGACAAGTTAAGGGAGTCCTTAAATTACCTTCTTAGCACCAGTGGATCTAAGATTCTTGAAGCACTAGCTTTGCCAGCATATTATGAAATTCTACGGGGTTCTGGCACATGATTGGGGATACCTTGGCGAAGCTCCAGCCAGAGTGGTCTGGGTTCGGGATACTGTAGTGTAGTGTTACGGTAGGTATACCGTAGATAGAGGTAAGGCACAGACTTTAGCTCAAATTTTTCGCAGAGTGGTGCTGTTTTTGAAAATTCAAGTCTAGATGCACGAGAAGTACGGGGAGTGCACGAGACTGATATCAACGCATCAATTATCGATTTTATTGGTTTTGTTGATATAAGCATTATTCATCCCGAAAAGCTCAAACTTTACATATATAGGTTTTGTAGCATGCTGAATACGAAAATTATAGTCTCAAGTTCATACGGCCTTCTTACAAAGTTTCTCGATTTTCACGAGAATTCTGCCGTACTGCTACCGTAGTCCCACTGTGGGAAAGTAGTGAACAAAGTGGACACTATAGTCGTGATCAGCACGTGGGAAAACCCCCAAACACAAGTTTTCATGAAAATCCACGATGCTGCCAGAAACTGAAATAAATCATGTTTTGATAACCAGCGCCTTCGATAACCCTTGTGGGGGATTCTCGGAGACGTGTTTTGAATTTTATTCCAAAAAGACTACCATTACAGACAATATGACCCACGGGTGCGTCATAAGTTTGACAAAGCGAAAAAAGCTCTGGTCCGAAACGGCAGTTATCGAAAAATCGGCCTTGTCGTGAATGTGTTAACGACAGCTAGAGAAGCCCGCGCTATAGGACCGCTTGAAGGCATTAGCCCAAAATTGCAACTGCGCGCTTTCTGTTTCTTTTTGACCTTCTGGATGCGTTTAGACAAAGCTATGCTTGAAAAGTTAAATAAGTGCTTTTTAAGGCGTTTTCCGGCTTGGAGATTGCTGAGGAGGCGGAGATTCCCGCCAAAAACAATGACTGGCTGCAGGAGACACACCACTCATTTTGGCGATTGGTTGATTGGCCCAGGCAGCCAATGGCGACTCGACTGCGGAAATCTTCGCTCCAGCCTCCTCAGCAATCTCCATTGCCTAAGAACGCCATACTTTTAAAGCATAGCTCTGGTCTAAACGCATCCAGAAGGCCAAGGAGAAACAAAAAGCGCGCAGTAGCAATTTTCCGGGCTACTGCCTTCAATTATAAATCTGTGCTTACTTCTATTATAGTGATTCCGATAACACGGACAATTTGTCATCGTTTGCATATCTCCTACTTCGTGACAGTTACTTCAAGGGTGTGTTTACCTATACGTTCACAGCGAAACGGAGCCGTGTTTTGGTAAACACGGTAAATCAATGTTATCAATACTATTTCGGGTTTTTCCCCTATGATCTATATTGTACGGTATTTGTTACTATTCAGTTCTTTGTGACTCTGGGGGAGTTTTTCACATTACACTTATTTCATAATCACTCAGCGAATGTCTTAGTTGGAAGAGGAGTGGTCTTCCCAGACTCAAAACTTTGACTACGATGTAGTGTGTTTGTGTGTACAGACATCAGCTGTAGTTACGTATCTAATCAAAAGTCATCAAAAACAACAGTTTTGCGCATGTAGTCGTAAAAGTTTTGCGGGTCACAAACGTTCGCCTGTCATGATACTGCTGCTTATTCTCTTTGTCACAGCAATAATTGCTGTAATAAGGTAAGTTACCCCTCTTTTAGCATTTCACATAATTTTTGCACCTTATTATTTGCAAAGAATTAGGTTGTCCCGAAACTTTTTATCTTTGATCAGTCATCAGAACTCCTAGACCGACGAACACTTGGGTATCATTCGACTCCTACCTTCTTTCTGATAGCTACATTCTCACTATGCAGTCTTTGCGATGTTAGCGCCATGGCTGTTTGAGCAGTTTAACAGTGCGCCATCACTCCCTGATTTCAGAAAACTCCAATTCCAATATTTTGAAAAAGCTCTGGTAACTTTTATATAGAGACTCTTGGCTACATTACATTCATTTTAGATTACACATATCAAGTGTTTAAAGTGTAATACATGTTTTTAGGAACGAATAAAGGCTTTTTGAGCAAGTGCATTTTCAAAAAGTTGATTCTTCAGCACAAATACGTGATTATTCTGCACGAATGAGTTTAATAACAACGAAGTTTGAACTGGAAAAAACTTTGGAAGCTTTAACGTTTTGTTCCTGCGTATTTCATGACTTTTCTAATAATCAAGTTCGTAAGGAGAAAGAACTAATAACAGCAGACCAGAAAAGGTAAAAATAGAGTCCTCGAAAAGAAAAGAAAAGCTTACATCTAATGCATGTTTAAACGGATTCTAAGTTTATTATACGAATTTTGTTAACGCGAAACGGAAAAAGATCTTTAGGACGACAAGTAATAAATTCGTCTACTTACCAAACTGGCTGTTAAATGAACACTTAGTATAAACCTCAGAAATAGACGTTCAGGATTCAGATTGCCATTAAATATTAACTAAAATTTCGTGACCTTCAATTTAGTGTTGTATATTTAGCTCGTTTTATATGCTGAAGTTGTTTTTTCTAGACATGGTTTTGTGAAAATCTTTCCTGATTAGTGCCTATTTGAGCAAAAATTTACGTGAAATAAGGTTTTATTCTCTTTCCGAAAACTTCATAACGGAATCGTATAACGATTATTTCATACAATATTCCCAGAATTTGATTTTTATTCCGCTTGCACAAAAGGTCAATTGCTACTTAAAGTTCAAGTATTGCAAAAGACCTTTTTTAGCATTAATCTGATTCTACTCGCAGCATTTTATGCTCTTTGAAATTTGAAATAGGGCTGGAAACTTCGAATTTTTGAGGTTATCGTGATCCATAGAAAACATGCTTGGAGACCCACTTACTTACTGTTGTCAGTTATTACAAATGGCAACTGGACTACTGGAAACGCCGCGGCATTCCTGGTCCACCGGGAACTATTTTCATTGGAAATATGCACTCGCTGACCGATAGGTCCGTGCCAGTTGGACTGGTGTTGCGGAAATGGACCAAGGTAAGAGGAATTTGGTAGCATTTCCTCACTATATAGAAAATTTTGAGGAATATGGAAAAGTTTACGGAATCCAAGAAGGACTTCGAAAGACGCTAGTGATAAGCGATGTCAATATGATCCGAGAGTTGTTCATGCAGAAATTTGAGTATTTCTATGGACGCAAGGTGAAGAATTTATTGAGACCTTTTGGATGATTACATCAAAATCAAAGAAGCAGCCAAGAATAGAACAGGACCTTTACCATTCTTTCGCAGAATCCAATAAAAAATTGATTCATTCAGAACACCGTACTGGTCGGAGACGTTGAAAATGATCCTCGCGTCCATCTATTTGAGGCACAAGGAGTGAGATGGAAACGTCTTAGATCTATCTCCAGCCCTGCCTTCTCGACTGGTTCATTGAAAAAGGTGAATTGAAAAAAGAATCCATTTTCCAAGCGTTCTCTTGGATGAGGTGCTAGTATAGATATGTGCATGAGAAGAATTTGATGAAAGCTCAACTTTCTTTGTCCAAACGCGATCATCAAATGCTTAACCGATGTTATAGTTCATTTGAAAAATTGTGACGATGACGCTACCACGCTACACGCTCGCCACCTCCGGAAAACGCGTTTTCTTGATTTTCATCTGTAGTCAAATAGGACTACTGCTTACTTATGATAATATTTAGGCACTAGAAGTTACTGAGCTAAACTAGTGATGCCTTCTTGTATGAGCGTTTTATGCTCCGGTGGGCGCAAAGTCCGCAGTAAAATCCGTCGTCACGATTCTCTAAGTACACTACAAGCGACTGCGCCAACCTTTCTTTACCAATTTGAAAAGTAGTGACGATTATCATGTATAATACTTCATTTCCAAAGTTACAAGTTCGTCCCGACCGTCCAATAGATGTCATTCAATGCAAAGCTCTCTTCAAATCTCTTTTTTCCTCTAATGGAAGTGCCTTTCCCCACTTCCTCTTTAGTGGTTAGAGGAATTTCATTGATATCGAGTGTAACGTTGAACGGTAATGATAATCGGCGTTAATGGTTGCTTAACGTGCTACCGCAACCCCAAATTAACAACCTCCTCAGTGGTCGTAGTTCTGGTGAATCTATGATCTGTTGGAAGTAGGCATAAAGCCGCTTCTCTGCGGAAATTGCTATTTGAGTCAGCATTACTAGGACAGAGAAACGAATGCCTCAATTAGGCAGTGCATCCACGACCACCGGTTAAAAGCCTTTTATGTGCATATCTCCCAGAATGTAACAGTGAATGAGCAGTATCTAAGTCAGGGCCCGGCAGGAGGTGGCATTTCAGAATTTTGAAAACGATATCCCCTTTGAAACCAAAATTTCTTACGACTTCCCCTTTGACCCTATTTTTGACCCCCGTAAGTCCCTGACAAACAGATATACACAAATAATAAGATGGGCGGCCTCAGCGCTTATTATAGAAGTACTACCTGGCTTTCCTAGTCCAGCCCGAGTCATCGTTTGAGGGGATGGCCAAAAACCACACTCTGTCCTTCTCCTTTTGGGCCATACTCTCCACCCTTTTCCTGCAGTATCAATACTGCACTGCAGCCCTATATCTAAGATACTACTCATTTATTAGTCAGCTGCGAAACTTTACAATTCAGTATATACAACTTCAATAACAAAAACATAAACCTACACTATACAACAACAATTTCATAACATTCATTTCATAACAACTTCAACAACTTCAACGGTCAAAACTCTTTTTCCTCTTTATACCACCTCGTTCTCGTATAACTTCTATTCACATAGATGCTACAAACTCCATCTACTTGCAAAGATAGAAAAGCTTTTTCTGAGACATAGTTTTGCATCTTTTTCAATATGGCTGCTGAATGAGAAGCTTTAGCGCTACAAAGAAAGCAGCCAGCGAGATTGTGGCAAACGATAGACCAAAAAAAAGGAATGCGCTTCGCGGATCGATCGAAGTTGCTTTGGATGACTCAAAATATGCAAGTTCTCTAAAGGGCATGTGCTAAGAAGTCACCATGAAAGTGGAATGCGGGTTTGATTTGATCCGAAAAAAAAGATAACTCGAACGCGACTAGCAAGAAAAAGCAAGCACAACAAATAGAACAAGCAATTTTACATTCCTAGTTTGAATTTTTGATAGCATAATCATATTTTCATTGTGTTTCTGGTCTGGACGATCCCTAAGGCCCTCGACATAGTTCACGCGATTTGATCGGTATTATCGGTAAAAGGGCATTTGAGAATTTTCACTGCAGACAGATGCTTGAAAACCGAAAAAAATGACATACTTGATGAGGTCAACATCGAAAGCATTAGTGAAGCGTTTCGTTGAACTTGCTTCATGAGATAAGTCGTCAGGGAAAAATTTTTGATCTGCTCATCAAAGAAAAATGATTATAAAAATTAACTGCTGGACATGATGAATCGATAAAGTTTTGTCAGAGACGATCGGACATCGGCCGTGACTTGTGCAAGCTGGCAGAGAGAGCGCACATTTTGGAAAACACTGCACTATCCCCTCCTCTGGAAAAATCTCGGCTTCCGCAGGCCAGCCAGCAACCCGACACTGGCTTCGAAAATGTTGTCAAAAAACATGCTGTCCATCAGCGTAACGCATCAGCTTCGCTGCTAGGCTAAGAGCGTTTTTGGCCGAGAAAATTTGAAACGGCAATCTTAGGAACAACAAAAAAACAAAAATCACACAAAGATTATGTCTATGAAATCGAGGCAAACAGTCTCGTGAACACTGAGAATGTGGATCAAATCGCGTAAACTCTTTCGAGTAATAAATGATCGTCCAGACCAGAAACACATTGAAAATATAGGTCTCGCTGATCCACAAAAATATTGGAGGCAATAAAGGAAAACACACAAAGAAAAAACAAAAAAGTACAAATGTGATGTACAAAAACGAATGCAAAAATTCGATGTAATGTAACATATTTGCATAAATGCAATTCCACCTACCTGAGATAGTCCGAATGAGCCTCAAATTGGTGGACTTAGTGCGAGGTGCTGTAGTCGAAAATTCTGACATGCATGTCATCTGAGCCGGTAACAATACAGTTTTTGCGTGAAATAAACTTGGCAGCGCGCACTGGCAAATCACATATCTGAAGAATGCGCAAGATACTGGATTGAAACATAGTAAGCAACATAAGGCCCCAGCCAGACTTCAGTTGAACAGCCCAAAACCGCTCAAAAACACCGAAGGCACCTTTTCACGAGAGATGAGCTATCTTGAGCGGAGTCTGGCCGGGGCCTAACATACAAAAATACATGAAAATTCAAAAAAAATAAACCTACTTTGAAAGACTTCAGAAGCAGCTGACTCTCGTAATTCCAAATCTGAACACTTCCACTGTGAAGCGCTGCCTATAGCCACGTTTCCGTGGGATGAAGGTCCACCGATTTAACTCGGCTCGATCTTGTCAAAAACAATTCCTCAACTTTTGATGACAGCATGCCTACAACAACCAGAATAAAGGAAAACGAAGAAAACAAACGACTCAAAAGAGCGAAAGTACGGAGAAATCGACCATATTGCGAAAACTGAAGAAACACGATTACAAAAACAACTGTTTGCATAGAATATCACGACGAAATATGATCTCTGGCCCTTCTGAGCCCTTGTAGGGCTTGTCGAAGAAGCAATCTATTCAGAAATCGTGAAGATTGCTTCAATCATTTCATATAAAAGAATCGTAAGGTACAGTAGGGATTTTTTGCAGAGAAGGACATTTGAGCATCCACCCGTCCTTTGATTTGGGAAAAAACACTGGGACGCAAAACCTCACCCAATGTTTCTTGTCCTACGCCTTATTCGAAGCGAGCTCGTGGAGCCACCCCCCCCCCACTACATCAATCCTTTCATCGAAATTTGACGAAGAAAGGCGATTGACGCGCATGAACTACAGTGTTTCAATGTAGTTCCAATGGTCTGGTGGCTAAGGGGTGCGACACTCAGTTGCCAGATTCGGGTTCAATCCCGCGGTCGAGGGCTCTTTTTTGCCGTTAACGTTGGGTCTCAAAATCAGCTGATTTTTTCTCCCCATATCATTTCATATAAAAGAATCGTAAGGTACAGTAGGAATTTTTTGCAGAGAAGAACATTTGAGCATGGGTAGCACTTTGGGTAGCATTTTTTTACCGTCGCCACGAACTTGTTCAAGATTCAAAGGTGCATCCATTTAAAGACCATTTGGTCCTGAAAATGAAGGGCATTTTCGCTTAAGAGCTTCTCCTCCTCTTTCTACTGGCACCGTTCCCTCGTTCCATCTTCAGTGGTTAACGAGTTATAAGCCCTCAAACTTAGCGTATCCGTTAAAAACGCTGCTGCTTCTTAAATGAAATTTTCCTTGATTTTGATAGCACACACATACATAGTTTTCTGCTGTTTGGGTACTTACAAAGCGCTAAATGCATGTATAAATGCTTCCAAGTCATTTGATGTTATGAGACAGGGTTGTGAAAGTAGTCGAAGTATGTGCAGTCTGGAATTTTCTCAAAAGGTTGCTGTAGAGCGACGACTGTTAGAAGAACAGGTACCATGAATAAAATGTCGGAAGCACGTAACATGGATGAATTGCACTGCTCTAACATCACAAGTAAAGAAGTTCTGTTTTCTTCTTTTGCTTACAAGGGAATGGTCAGAATTCGAAGTGGCCAAACCAAACAAGCTGTACACCATTCGATGCAGTATAAAACGCTGATTTCGAATCTGTCTTTTTTATCTGCTTCCCGCTTCTGTGGACGAAGCTACAAGCCATTAAAGATCATTATTTAGCTAAGAAATTACGCGTGAAATTGAAAATTTAGCCGTGCAGAGCCACGTTCGCCTTAATGCTGGGCCAAAACATGCAGCTAGCCTACTTCAAATTTTTAAAGAAAAAAGCTGAGCTAAAAATGCAACAGTGTGCTCAATTTCGCTGTTTTTATGTGTGATTTTTTCACAATAAAACCGCTTGTAGCTTCGTCCACAAAAGCGAGAAGCAGATAAGAAAGACGGATTCGAAGTCAGCGTTTTATACTGCATCGAATGGTATACAGCTTGTTTGGTTTGGCCACTTCGACTTCTGACCATTCCCTTGTTAGGATAAATGCGCCGCAGATATGGCGTACTCCACAGCAGATACTATATCTTTTTAATATGTGCCATCATAATTGCAACATCATCAAGCAGCATAGACGATATACTATATGAAAAATTGGTATGGTGAATAGAAGAACGATCGAAACATTTAATTACCTTGCAGGAGGAACACTCTGTTCCCCCCGTAAGGCTACATTTGACATTCCCTTTTTTAGTAATCACACAACTATTCGTAGATTGCCTCTAACTGAGTGAGGGAAAGCAAGGAGAGCGGGCCCGATTATGCGAGCCTCAGTAGTAGAAAACCTTCACCCCTTTTCTCACTTGCATCTCGAGAAACCAGGACGAATTTACTATTCAATCGCCTCCATAATATGGAAATTCGCACCAGCGCGATAAAACAGTACCCCAAAATCCATACAATAAGTCCGCCTATCAGATAAGATAAGTGCACCTATCAGATAAGTCCGCAGCAGACCTAGCAAATAATTCTGCTTTCTTGACAACGAAAGTCGCCCTCGCGCCGCCAAGAGTCCTGCAGATAAGTCCGCTCTCTCATGCTCAGGATAGGCGAACTTATCTGATGCGGACTCATCTGATAGAGGATTTAGGAGGACTTATCTGCAAGACTTTTGGCGGCGCAGAAGGCGATTTTTTATCGATTTTTGCGTCAAAACTGCAGATAAGTCTGGACTTAATGTACGGATTTCAGGGTACTTATTAAAAGTAAACAGAACTTAAAAGCAGCATCCAGGCAACTCAGATAATCGCGGGAAGCAGGCGGTTCGCAAAATATTTTGAGGCGTCGCCAAACCTTCAATGGACGGTACCTTCTTTACTGTCGAGTGTCCTGCTAGCGGGGTAGCAATACAGAGTTTTTTGCGGGCGCTCGTCAAATAATTTCTTCCAGCGAGCGCTTTCATTTCAGCGAGCGTTCGGACTCTTTCTACGCGGTTTCGGGCGTACACTGAGCCAAGCGTTGTATCGATGGTTCAATTACCCGAGTTTGGGGTACCTTCTCTCTCTCAGCGGAAGGTTGGCCGCCTACCAGGCGATTATCTGAGTCTGGACCTGTGAGGGTATCACCTGGAAAGTAATTTTGGGATCCTAACTAAAACACTGCTTAAGTAGCAGCGCGAATGAATCACTTAAGGACCCGTCATACTTTGCCGAAAAAAGCCCAAAAGCGCCCAAAGAAGCCCGAAAAAGCCCAAAAAAGCCCAAAAAAGCCCGAAAGCGCCAGAAAGAGCCGGAATGTAGAAACGAACTTTTGGTAGAATTCTGACATTATCTTATCACGCGGACGACAGAATATGACAAAAAGGCTCGATTGCGAAGTCAACAAACTGGCCTTAGCGCCAAAACGTGCGAGAAGTATTCCGGCTCTTTCTGGCGCTTTTGGGCTTTTTGGGCTTTTTTGGGCTTTTTCGGGCTTTTTTGGGCTTTTTCGGGCTCCTTTGGGCTATTTTCGGCGAAGTATGACGGGTCCCTTACGGTTGAAATATTCGTCCACCAAGTGGACCCCAGGATTGTATCAACGGACGACTTCTCATTTCGTGTAATTTTGCGCGAGGATCAACTCGAAATTGATATCGTAGTATAAAACCATGCGAACCCCAGGCAAGTTGTCCGTTTATACGATCTTAATATCCAGTTTGGAGGGGAATATGCAGCCGTGAGTACAGCATCTGAGCTGCCGGATCTTGGCCAGGACTGCAAAATTATTCTCCACGTGAAATCCGCATATATGGTCAAATTTGCCCAAAAACTACCTTTAAGATTTTGTCCCCCTGCCGCAAATCATAGACTTACGTTTGTTTTGACTCTTCACCATAGATCTACCCGAACATTGTAAAAGGGCTTTACATGCAAAAAAAAGTATGATACTTATGATCAGCATGTCGAAGAAAACCCATGAGCCACGTTTCAGCGAAATACGCGGTTTTGACCCTCTACCATATATCCACCGTAGCCCCCGGAAAATGGCGCTGCCGCGCAAAGCCGATCAAATTGTGGCAGCATGGCCATCAACATCAGAGTCGCGCATTACCATGGAGTGTAACTCGCCCAGTAAACATTGGGAAAAGTATTTTTTCATGGGAAAGTAGTAGAGAAAATAGCTGGGGGAACCTGCTTTCAATGCTGTGAATGCGAGAGGAAATCGAGAGGGAAGGAGGGAAAATTTTCGACAACGACACGGGGTTCTAAAAGTGCAAGATGCTAGGAAACTTTGCGACAATCATGGCATGAGAAAAATCGAGAAAGAGACTCAGAGTTTTGGACGGAAAAGTTGAGTGGACGCTGCGAGCACTGGCCGGAAATCTTCTGAAGAAAGAGGGGGGTATTGTGATTTTGTCGAGTAGACTTTTGAGAAGAGGGGATTTTAGGGACGGGATAGCTCTTTGAGTAAGAAAAAAGTGGATAAATTGACTGTGAAGTTTTAGGCTGCGTTCATACTGATCCAGAAGTTCGGGAAAAGTTCAGCAACCGCTCAATTTGAGCTCCGTGCTGGAGGTGTTGCACTTCCGGATCAGTATGAAGGCAGCCTTAGGAGGGGAAATTCAGTGCGATTCGGCTTAGAAAATTGGAACGGACGACTGATATTCTGGGCTAGAGTGGGGAGGAAATTAGGCTCCACATTTGCTTTGGAAATGGCCGCTAACGCTTTGTGAAAATTTTACAGCGAAAGGAACACATGATACATTAGCCAGGAAAAGCCGAAAAATGGATAGCTACGGGAAGGATGTTGTACGAGAAGGGGTGCACTGCGGTTATATAATAAGCATGGTGAGCCTAAAGAAAAAGCACGAGGTGTGGGGTGCGTATGTCCATTTTCGGGAATGCTTCACTGAACGCGACATCTTCCTGCCAGCCAATTTTGAGTAATCTAAATGTTCTTCTGCAAGCACTCGTACTTGTCATTTGATTTATATGCGCACCTTTTCCAGCAGAACTTTCCAATCAAAATAATACTAAACGAATCCATTTGCTTTTATGGCATTGAAAGAGGGTTATGCAAGTTTCTGGTGACCCAATACAACATTTCTCACACCTGGTAGCCATTGGGCCGCTAGTCAGATTCAGAAAAGTCACATTCTCGAAGTTTCCGCGTCGTCCGTGCAAGGTGCACCGATCGCGATTGGAGCGCGCTTTCCGAGGCCGATCATAACGCTGTGAACCCTATTTGGGGCTGTATCTAAGCGGTGCCTTGGTGATTTTGGAAGCGGATTTGAACATGTAGTAATACTCTCGACCTAGCCCACATTTATGTAAAGAAATCCGGGAAATTATGTGAAGGGAAGCAGGGAGCCACCCCAGGTGGCTCCCAGGTGGCGCGGGAGCCACCTAATTTCGAAAAACACTTACCATTTTTATAATTCACATAAGTTTTTCATAATTTTTCATACTTTTTTTGTGCTCATGGTCCTCCAACTATACAGCAAATTTGGTGCCATATCGTTACTTGTGCATTGAAAACAAGCCTATTTTGTTGTTTTCCTCTTACAAGAATTGCGATTTGAATTCCCGCCTGCGGGAAGGCTAGCGATCGGAGCACAGAATCTTCACATTGCTGGAATCTAAGTTCATAGAACAGTAGCATCAACAAGGAATGGTGAATAAAGAATGATATGTGCATTGTTTATCGGTAAACAAAAGGGAAGTCGTATTTTGGGATCCGGGGCTCCGCCCCGGACCCCAAAATACGACTTCCCCTTTGCTTTTTTGGGCCAAAAACGATATCCAGCTTGTGAAAACGCCACCCCCGCCGGGCCCTGATCTAAGTGGTCACAGATGCGGGCTATTTGATAGACACTTTTGAGAAAGATGAGTTTGCAGAGACTTGTTTGTAAAGGTTGGCACCCTATCTTTTTCAAACCTAAATGCTTTGATTCCAATTCCTACTCTGAAGGCGGGGAATTGTGTACATAAGGGAGTTCAGCCCTGGAAGAACCTCTATAATACAAAATTCGCTAAACTATTCTAATGTAGACACGGCAACAAGCCTATCTGCGTCGCGAGGTAGAGGTCTTCTTCCCGTCTCCAAGACTGCAATGACAAAGGGGAGCAAGTTATTGAGTTGACTGCATATAAAGCGTTTCTTAGTGGTTGTACTCAACAAAAACTATTGTGTTAGTTATATTTACGGAGTTATAACAGAGAATAATTTTGCTATAAACGCGCTCTCTACAACCTCTAGACACTACTACAGGCAGCGGTGTGAGGTTTACGACAGCATTCTTTTTCCTTAAACGTATCTCAGTCTTTCGAATTTCAGATTCGACCCACTTTGGAAGACTCTGTGTTTGCTCTAATCAAACTGTTTGATGATAAAGCAGATAAACAAGCGTTTGACGTACTACCGTAAGTTTGAGAAGACAAGTCTATCTTCGGACAGGTGAAAATTATTCAGGTTTTACAAGGAGTTCACTATGGATGTTATATATCGAGTTGCGCTAGGACAAGAAGGGCCAAAAATGTTTACTGATGAGAAGATGACACGAGTAGACAAAGTCAGTTAAGTTGCATTTCAGATAAATTTGGAGTTTCAAATTGTTTAGATTTTCCAACGAAGCTTTCGTCAACCACTTTTCTACGTAGCAAGTGCGGTTCCGAGCCTCGCATTGACTACAAGGTGTGTGACTCAAACGAGGAGTACGCTGATCTATCAGAAGAGAAACAACAAAGCAACCGATAAACAAAGTTGAGATAGAGGTGATTATTTTCAGAAAGCTGTTCCTACTCACATCAAAATTGAGGAAAAGTACTGCACCTGCGATTTTTGAACAAATTTACAAGACCATTGATGAGAGGATAGAAGAAAGGGTACGTCAGCGTCGTTACTTCAAATGTTGCGGAAAAAAATGATCCAGAGGAATAAGCTTGTAGCATAATACTGGGGTAACGCATTTTTTTGTCAGAACCTAACAGTAACCTTTGTTATTCCGAAGCGTACCCTCTTATTACTACAAATTACAAGAGGGAAAATCTATTTTGTAATCAAACCTGATTTGAAGGCGCGCGTTTTTTCTGTGTCAATTTCTTGATTTGTTGGCTGTTGCAGAAAACTAAAGCTAATTCAAACGAAAAGGAAAAAGCTACCGACTTTATCGACTTATTCTTGGATGCGAGGGCTGAACAAGAGTTTGATAATCAATCGGAATTTTCGAGAACAGGAGTTCAGGTGCGTTAAATGAGACGGCTAACTTTTGAAGGCATACGAACATTACAGATCGAAAAGCAATTGACCAGAGACGAGATTGCAGCGCAGTGTTTTGTATTCCTCTTGGCTGGTTTCGACACCACAGCCAATTCGCTGGCATATGTTACGCATTTACTAGCAAAGAATCCTGAAATTCAACGCCATCTTCAAGAAGAGATTGATAGCTGTTGCGATGAAGTAAGACAATCTAGAAAACTAAATTTTTCCATAATTACAACAAGACACAAACCGCACCATTGTGTTCCAGACTATTAGCTACGAATCCATAGCCAAAATGAAGTATCTGGACTGTGTCATGAAGGAAGGTCTCCGCATGTACCCAGTGGCCAATTTGTGAGTTGTCGAAATTTCGATCGTAATGATTAAACACCTTTCTAAGAAGGGCGCATTTCATGCTCATTTGAGCATGGTCAGTATATTTTGGAGATAAAACTTTGTGCGATTGGACCATTCAACTCAATTTCTGTAAAATTACTGAGAGAAATCCCATTTGCAGTTATTTAGGGAGCCAAAAATTGTATCGAATGTTCATCTCTAATAACTGTCTTCAACTTAGCTTTCCCAGATGGGTGGCATACTGTAGGGCTGGCTTGGTTCAACTTAGATTTTCAATACAAAACGAATCACCCATCTTTCTTCCATACAGTGGAATTATGGTAAAAACTTTCAGTACAATATCGTCGTGCAAATCGCATGTCGCTAAAAACTTTGGTGATGGATTTGGAGTCGTTTATTTAGTAAATAACGTCTAACATGATTGCTGTTCAAACCCTGCAATGAAACCGCTGTGACAGTAGACTTGGCGCAAATTTTGAACTAGAGGTTACGGTGAAGTGAATTGCTCACGTTCGAAATCAGCAAAGCTATTTATCTGGTAGCAGAGCTTTCAGCTCTTTCGGACAGTTTTGTGGGCGATAAACTCTCACATGGTGCAAAAAGCCAACAGTTCTTACCGTAATGCTACGGTAGTGAAGAAGAACGGTGATTCGTTTATCATCAATTTAATAATAAGTTGAAGCCGCCCCTACCATTCGGTGCCCCACGATCCACAAAAGCTGCTTAGGCAAAAAAGATAATGACGATCAAACGTTACAATTTTGTAATACTTTGTATACAGTCAGTTTTTGATACTTCTGCTCTCAACATAGATGAGCCGTCGTTTTACGGAATCCTCTGCTCCGCATATATACGATCATCAAATAAGAAAGCTAGACCAACTGTGCGATTAACCACTTTTGGCATTCGAGTATTTTATACTGTGAATATACGCTTTTTCGATTTGCAGCTAGAACATTCAAAAAATAATTTGATTCTATCATTTGGGAGATTTGCAATATTGTGTATGTTGAACACTGTAATTCAGGTTACCATAATATTCGACCTTTAATTTAGTTACGTTTGCTCACAAAATTTTCCGACTACTAATTAACAAGTTGAATAGATTTCAGTACAAACTCTCGACGTTGCATGAAATCAACTACCATCGGAGGCATAGAGATCGAAGAAGGGACCTTTGTCATGGCTGACACTTTCTCATTACACTATGATCCGGAAATTTGGGGAGAAGACGCTGAGGAGTTTCGACCTGAAAGGTTAATCTTTCAAGCAGTGATTAACACAGTGATTCTATATAAAACATGTACTCGCCACTTCAGATGGATTGATGCAGAACGCGCGGTAGCGTCATGGCTTGCGTTCGGTCTGGGACCTCGTCAGTGTATTGCGATGAGATTTGCCCAAATGGAGGAAAAGCTTGTCCTGGCTCATTTGCTCAAGCGTTTCGACATAATAGTAACAGATCGCACCGAGGTAGACAACACTTACTGCTTTCGTGACGAACTTGATATGTTTCAGAAAGAGCTCACTCTGATAGGATCCATGACTACTGCTCCAAAGTCTGTCACTGTAAAGCTCAGAAAAAGGATCTCGCCAACCTAAAAGTCGATTCTCGTTCTTTTCCGTATTTCATAATTCAATCAATATTTTGACCATCGATGACCATCACCGGACACTTCTTGCTATCATCAATTGTATAAACATGCTGTACATCTTTAAATGAGACTGAGTGCATACGGGCTGGCTGTGTTACCTTGCAAAAATTATTTCCTATTTTTATCACCATAAGCATCTTCAATCAGAAAAACCACTCAAAAATCAACTAGCTCATGCAACTTCTCCATGTCGAACGTTCGTTACAGATACCCTATCTTTTGCATGCCATCGAAGTAAAGAATTGGCAGGTTTTTATTACCAAAGCAGTGCTGGACTGTACATGCATAAGTAATTCGGTGCAACTTCTGCCAGTACAAGCATGAATTTATGGCAATCTTGAAAAACACGATATTTAGCGTAACAATAAAAAGGCAAAATTCTGTATTTTTGATTTATTCTCTTTGTATTCTAGCTATAGAAAGAAATACTTGGATTGTACTAGTATCTGTGTAAATAGCATAAACGTGAGAAAACTTGAGGTGTCATAAGAATTTTTAAGGACCTGATTCTTGGGTTACTGAGTTTTTTTGGCTTCTGGCATCGTACCACATAAGGGTGTCCCAAAAAATGTACCTACTGTTTGATTATAAATAATTCTTTTGTAATGAAGTGTTTCGACAAGCTTCAGGAACCACTTTGTAGAGCGAGGTCAAACTTAGATTTACAGTATGGAACGAATCATCGATCGCTCTTCATTACTGTAGGATTACGGTGAGAACTCCCAGCTATTTAACCATTATGAGATATACTACCTAACAAACTTTTTTCAAAAAGTCTGAAAAATCATGTACTAGGGTTTCGCGCATGCTAATTCCACCCAACAACTTTTTAGTGTTTTCAGCTTTTTTGACGGTATATTCACATTTCTGATACTGGGAATCATGTTTTTACTATTTACCGGGGATAACATAGGAAAGAAGCATCAGAGTAAAATGGAAACTTCAAATTCGAAATAGGCGGCTCCCATTACCGCAGTATAAGATTTTTGGCTTGTTTGGTTTTGTTCCAAAAGAGAATATGGCCTTCAATGGCCCAAAATCTTTGTCGAAGTTCTTACCGTAATCCTACAGTAATGAAGAGTGATAGATGATTCGCTCCATACTGTAAATCTAAGTTCGACCTCGCTCTACAAAATAGTACCCAAAGCTTCTCGAAACACTTCATTGCAAGAGAGTTATTTACAATCAAACAGTATGTACATTTTTTTGGGACACCCTGTATGTTGAACAACGCCATCTCAGAAAAGCTTGCTTTGCTTTACTTTTAATTTACTGCAATTTTTATGTACTTACTGCGGCCCCATAAGAATTCCGCATTTTCATAACAACATGTATATGGTTCGGATTGTACGCATGTGCTGAAAAATAGCATGGACGCATGAACCAGACGCAAAACCATCTATCATCACTGTCAACAATTCGATCAGTGACCGCTTATCAAAAGGAGTGAACTTACCTAGCCATTCCCTTTTTTGCGATGATACTGGTGCTTACTGCGGTCGCCGCAGCTTTGGTCGCTTTATTGAGGTAATCTTTGTCGAATATTTGAGAGACAGAACGTTTTCCGGTGATTTGGTACATCTATAACAGAAGCACCACAACTTTTATAGTGGACAAATTTTGAAAAAAAACTTTCGAAGAAAATGGCTTTCTTTGCTCGGCTCATGAAGGACATTTGGAATGCTTTCCATTTTCTGCTATTTTTTGCGTTAAAAAGATCATTTTCCTTGTATGGCTACCGTGTAACTTTGTTGACTTATTGGATTACAGAAAGTATTAACGAAGACAGTAGTTCTGGCATTTACCAACACCATTTGAACAAAAATATTGCGTAAATGCGAAAGTTTCTTGTATTAATCAGAAAGTAATTTTCTGATCTGCAAGGTTTTGTGAAAGAAGAATTGAAGGAAAATGTGCGCTTTAGATGATTTTAGATACTAGAGTGCCGCTAGCTATGTAGACGAAAACAACTCTTAGAAAAAACCTCGCTTAGCAGTAACCCATACGCCACTGTGGCGCTCTAATCTTGCATGGAATTGTCAGAAAAAATGCGTCATAAAATTCCAACTTACAAAAAGAACTTTTTATCAGTGCATTTTCTTCTTAGCAACAAAGCACAAGAATCAAATCTAGCTTACCTAGACAGTGTGACGTTTATTTTGGATGTCAAGATGTGCTTCTACTGCAAAGGTGTCGTGCTGCTAGGATTTCTTTTTTGTAATGACATTTTTCACAAATTTCCTGCCTCTCATGTGAGAATGAAGTTTGGAGCGTGTGTGGTCCACTCTTAGGTAAGAAAGTTTCGCCCAAAGTTCTACGGTCACCTGCGGCACTCTGGCATTTTTTTGCGATCAAACAGACACAGTAGGAAGCTTTCTGGTTTTCCATGGCTAACTAACGAGAAAGGGTTAAGTAAATGTCAAGAAGCGCAAGCCTTCATTTTGAATAAGAAACATTGATTTAGGTTCAAGAATTATTCTCAAGTTATTTTGAATTACGCAAAAATATAACCTAGAACAAATTGCTGCGCCATTACATGCAATATCCCCAAATATGCTCATGCTTTCATCAAATCAAAATATGCAGTGATCTTAATGTTTGTTAACGATTGATGATATAGTCTCCTAAGCAAGCATCAAAGATTTATCTGACGACCCATCTTGTGGGAAAACTGTTATATGATCTGAAGAAAATGTATTGTGCTCACCATAACTTTTGCAAAAAAATCTAACATTTGTCAACTGCGGAGCATTTCTATCGTAACACAAAAAAATCCCCATTCCCTCTTACGTTATTTCCCCTTAAGGAAAGTTATGAGATAACAATACTCTTGTGCTTCCTGGCAAACTGTTAGTGCTGGCACCAAGAAATATTTTAATCTCTGTTAAGACCGTCGTTGATGCGAACATACATCGCAGAATTCCTGATTTACCAATAATAAGATAGTTGACACAACTATGCTCAACAAGCTCTTTACTCTTTATTTAGTTTGAATACTAGTATGCAAGCGCATTAACTCGAGCTTTTTAGTCGTATGAGTCCTACAGCACCTTAGATTAGTCCTATTCCCGGCTATACTCTATGTTTGCTAAAGACCAATCCATTATTTTTGGTGACATTGTATCTTCTGTAAGATTGCAGCTACTATCAATGGCAGAAAGACTACTGGAAACGTCGTGGCATACCCGGCCCAACAGGAATCATTTTTATTGGGAACATGCATTCTTTAACCGACACATCAGAGCCTATAGCAGTTGTCTTGAAAAGATGGACCAAAGTGAGTACACCTATTTTTCAGATATCTGTCGCATAATGAACGCTCTCCAATCAGAGAGACTGGAAATAAGCAGTAAGCTCTATATCACACCAAGAAATCGTTTCGAAATAAAATGAGAAACCAAGAAAAAACCACTGGTACTTCCAACAAGTTATGGAGTGCTTATTTAGAGCAAATATATGAACTGTCAGCTTTGCCTAAATAATCACACGTTCGTAGAATTTCAGGTGAAATGCTTGCATTTGAATGGGCTTTTCAGCCCTCTGCACGTTGCTCCCGAGATTGTTTGTTCATGCTTGATATTCCTGTTTTATAGAGTAAATTTGCTTATAAGCAAAATTATACTTTTTTCTTACCTCACATACCGATAATCACTTTAGAAGGCTTCAAAAAAGCCAAAAGACATAATTTCAAAATTGCTAAAATTTTATCTGTAGATATTTCAGCAATTTGGAGATGTATACGGCATTCAAGAAGGCATTCGAAAGACCCTGGTTACAAGTGATATCAACATGGTACGAGAGCTGTTCATGAAAAAGTTTGAGTACTTCCATGCCCGCAAGGTAAGCTGGATCTGTGTGCTTTGTAAATATCGGCATTTAATATAGAAAATAAACTTTACTGGGAGAACAGAAATTCAGATAGATGCCATTCCTTAAGGCAATACTCTCAAAAGATAAACCATAAAAAGCAGTGACCTTTTTGCGCTAGCTAGTAGCTCCATCGCACTGCGCTGTAGAATTGGAGTCCGTCTTGGTTTGCGAGACTAAATCTGCCGGTTTTTCGAAATTTTATGAACGTAAGCCATTTCCATTTCTCGTGCCCTTCTACATTTTCATCTTATCTGACTAAAGACTAATTATTTAGAATGATGAAGCGAAGTGATGAGATTTTGAGCAAATACTTTAGGTAGAATCTGTTAACAAAAGTCTTAGGAAGCTCATTTACATGCGAATAGATGATACTCAAGAGGTTATGTGAACAAAGTGAGGGCGCTAACGCTGCTCCTGTGCAGAAACGCGATGTTTTTGAAACTGTTTGGTTTGATTCAGGGTCAAGCAAGGGGTGTGGCACACGATCGCTGGTTACGACCCCCCCCCTGGTTGCTGTCTTAATAAGACCCCCCCCCCTGAACTATATACCTAAGATAGCATTACCGGAGTTGAGAAAGAGGTCAGGCACAAGTCTTTCGACCCCCCCCCCATGAAAGCCCTCGAACGACCCCTTCTTCCTCCTGTTAACCTCTGGACCTCAAAGTGTGACATTCTGGAGGACACCATCTTTTTCTAGAGAGTTTTCAGATTTCTGAGAGCTGTACGCCCGACTTTCTGTGACTGCACTTTACAATCACACGTAATTTGACGGCTGATTTTGATCTAAATGAGCATATTGAAAGGGCCATAATTTTCTTATGGGCGGGACGTTCGGCTCCAAATTTCCCATGTAGCAAGAAGAAGCTATGTGCTCAGTACTCATACCAGCAATGGAGTGCTTTCTGGATTTTGAAGGCAAGTTAAGGGGGTGCGGCACACCCCCCTTAAAAGCTGCGGCAGCCGCAGCTTTTAAGGGGGTGTGCCGCACCCCATTAACTATATCAAAAAAACATTTCTAGCGGACAGCATTTATATGAATCGATAGCCTAAACCTTGTAGATTCCATAGGACTGTTTGGAGCCTGATTTGTCTTCTTAGCTCTAAGTAATATTTGGTGAAAGCACAGCGATCAAAAGCGAAAAATGGGAAAAACGAGATTTTGGTTGGCTTCTAATTTCACAGTTTGCAGGTCTTCTAAAGCGCGATTCCTGAGGTGGACAAAGAAGGAGTAGTGCTTTGTCTTGAGTGCAAAAACGGATAGCTAATTGACCTTTGAAACAAAGTTAACCATGTTGGAATTTGACCATTTCATTTAGGTAGCCTAGTATCTTGAATCTTCAGAATTCGCTCACACTTTGTCTACAGGGGTTATTTGACATGCTAATTATGGATATGATGCGAATATCATGTTATCACTATTATCAGATTACCCAACTACGACCCCCTCCCCTTTTGACTTCTCAATACGGCCCCCCCAGGTGTGGCGTGCCGCACCCCACGCTTGACCCTGGTTTGATTTGAAGCTCAATAGCTAGAGGCAACGCTCAAATTCATACCTTCGCTTGAACTCGAGTTTCTACAATCATGTAACAAACATTCTCCATACCCAGTTGTCATGATGGCGTCTAGAAGGACAAGTAAGTGGAAAACAGTGTCGGGTTTTTTGCCCCGAAAACAATCCCTAATTTACTTTCGTGTTTGACCCCTATATTCCCCAGGCAGAAAGCTGAGGAAATCCGGCCAGCAAAAGTCAGCTATAAGTTGTCAGATCAGCTTCTTAGATAACAGAGAGGCTGCGATGACTATTGACTACCCTTTCCCATCAGGGCCCGGCGCAGATCGTATGGAAGCAGGCTGGATCTCGATTTTTGCGAAAAAGCAAAAGGGATATCGTTTTTGTGGCCAAAAATTGCGGCGTTTTTTTCGACGTTTTTTTTTTCGACGTTTCGTTTTTGAGGGTTTTTTACGTTTAGGGCTGGAGAGTCAAATGGGACTTTGCAAAATTTCGCGAAAATCAACGGGGACTATGTTTTTAAGAGGTCTAGAAACGAAATCAGCCGGGTCCTGTTTCCGGTTCCCCATTTCACACAGTTTGGAAGGTCCACCCTAAGTCTTGAGCTGGCAGCATTTGATAGTAGGGCCCTTATCAAGCCAATGAACAAGTCGAGGCGCAAAACTGCTTCGGAAGCGAGAAAATCATTCCGGGAAAAACGAGGATGCAAAAGGTCCCCCAGACAGTGCCCCCCCCCCATTCATGCCCGCCCATTCGTGCGCGCCCAGCCAATCATCGTTCCGGAAAGCCGGCCTGGTTCTTGTTGGGGTTTTTGCGGAATCTCAACTTTATATTCGGAACCAGGGACATGAGAAGCCCGCGGAACGATCAAAACATGGAAGTCAAAAATCTAAGTGGACGGTGCCTTCAACCTGACTGCACAATCTAGGATGAGCCACAACACTTGCCACAGTTACGCCAGCTCGCAAACTATCTCAGAACAATTATTAGCCTTGTCTTTTGATGCTATGCGTCAAGTTGAACGACAAGCGCATTTGCATGATGCCAATTTTAACCAAAGCTTTTAGAGCAGCGTCCTCGTCGGAGATGTCGAAAACGATGCCCGAGTGCACCTTTTTGAATCACAAGGTGCAAGATGGAAGAGGCTTAGAGCTATTTCTAGCCCGGCGTTCTCTTCTGGTTCGCTCAAGAAGGTAAGACATAATCCAACTTTTGCAATCTAAACAGTACTAACGATGTTTGCATATTAATTCAAAGCTTGATAAGCAATAATAGTGGCAACAACTCATGCCCATGACGCATGTGGTAATGACAAAAACGGGCGTTTAGTCATGAACATCTAAGTCAAAGAAAATTCCCTCAGTCTATGTCCCAAAAGTGACAATTTGGACAAATTTCGGCTACATTTGAGATTCGACCTACCGTGGAGGACTCCATTCTGGCACTGATGAGTCTTCTCGCGGACCGAACAAATCGAAAAGCTTTCGACATTCTTCCGTATGTTTTTCTTGGAGAAAGATGCTGTTATGAGAAGTAGTCGATTATAAATTCTACAAAGAACTCACTATGGATGTGATTCATCGAATTGCTTTGGGTCAAAAGGGTTCAAGAATGTTTAATGATGACAGGGTTTCGCAAATAGATAGGGCAAGTGACGAATTCAGCAGCATTTATTGTGGAGAAGAAAACAGTTTTATAAAACACTGATGAGCTTGTACATTCTGTTTAGCTTTTCCAATACAGCTTTCGTCATCCCGTCTTCTACCTGGCCAGCGCCGTTCCTGCCCTTCGTTTGACTATCAGGTAGAATTACAACTTCAAAAAACGAACCCAAAGGTACACTTCTATTGAAAAATTCCAGAAAACTTTTTCTGACAACATCACGACTTAGACGCAGCCCAGTGCCACTTATTTTCGATCAGATTTACAAAACTATTGATGATCGAATCGAACAAAGAGTTAGCTACTTTTTAACTTAATATTAGGGTGATCCAAAGGTAATGGGGTATCTAGAGGAAGCAATTTAGTGAAACAAATGATACAAACTGCATGCTCAAGTTTCGGCTTACATTAGTCATAACAAAACCTTCTTACAATAAAGGTCTACAAAATGTGCAATATTGCATGGCGCTATTTTCGTGATCGCAAAAATTCAATGCAAGTTACTGCGAGCAAATGTAATTGAGCAGTACGAGCGATAGAACACTGTTGCCAAAATGATATTGCTACAATGGTGAAAGTATCGAATCAGCGATAATTTGGTGGTTCCAGACAGGGCTAGGGTGGCTTGCAAGCTGGATATCGTTTCGGGGGGAAAAGCAAAGGAGATATCGTTTTAATGTCCGAAAAGACACAAAAATTGCGACGTTATTTAGAATCAAAGGGGACTTCGTGAAATTTGAGAAAAGTCAAGGGGACTTCAATTTTTACATTTTCAGAAAGCCATCTCGTCCCAAGCCCTGGTTCCAGAGCTTTACAATAATAGATACTGCTTTGAATAGTGGGAGACATATAAATTTCTCTCATTAAGATGGTCGAATAAGTCCATTTCTGACGGCCAGCTTCTGATAAAGCTTTTAGGTTCAATACTGTTTGCATTTACCTAATTTTCCCATTTTCGAAAAAGGGGACCAAGGCATTTTTTTAGCCTCACATTCTGCAGCAAAACGCATATGATTCTTTTTATCCAAAAAATAACTACTTTTTGCATAATGAAAACAATAAAATGAGCTTCAAGAGCTCCTTTGAATGGTACGTAAACTCTTCGAAATTTCAGGGTACAGTGCTTCAAATTCGAACGTTTACAAAAAACGTTGTCTAAGGTCTTTGATGCGCTGCTCAATTGGAGAGGGGTGGGGGTTGCAAGGTGCTGCCATGATAACAGGCAATATCGCTCTATACAAAAGCGTTTACATTCCCGGCTGCTTACTGCTCCACAAGAAAAGAACCTTGAAAATTGCAAAAAACTGAGGTGCCCCATTATTTCTGGCTTATCTCTATAAAACTGTTTGGATCTGCAATGTATTTCTATAGGCTAAAGATATAAGCAGAGAAGAGGAATCGCAAGGGACAACAGATTTTATTGACCTTTTTCTGGATGCACGAGCTGAGCATGAATTTGACAACCATTCGGATTTCTCCAAATCAGGCATTCATGTGAGTGCGTTTTGTAACCAAACAAACATTAACATTGTCAGGCAGAGAATACGCGAGTGGGATACATCAATTTTGCGCGAAAATAGCCCTATTGAAGTTTTTATATTATGTCTTAAAACCCTTGCTTTCAGTATTCCTTCAGTTGACTTTTTGAACGCCTCCTCTGAATCACGTGAGGCATTCACTTCTAGCCTGTGGCGGCAGGAGGGAGAACCTCCAGGCTGGTTCAAGTACCCGCAGAATGTGCAAAACTTGTAGTGGACCGTATACTAGTAGAAAGAAGACTAAAAGTTATTGCAATTTTGATGAGCGATTTCTAATAAGCTATTCACATTTTCCTCTGTTCCTTTCCCTAGGAATCTAATTATTTGTATCTACTCTATCTCAGGTTAAAAAGCAACTGACAAGAGAAGAAATTGCTGCGCAGTGTTTTGTGTTTTTATTGGCCGGTTATGATACTACCGCGAATTCGCTTGCATATGTTACATTTCTTTTGGCAAAACATCCTGAATCGCAACGACGATTACAAGAAGAGATCGATCAATACAGCGGAGACGAGGTATGATTTATTCACGTCATTGATGTTAGCATGTATCACAGATCGCATATAAAATATTGGAAATACATTGGAACCTTATATTAGGTCGTTCCGAAAGTAATGTCGCTTTTTTCAAACGTACGCCACATTTCGTGGAATAAAGATATGTAAGAGATTCTGGTAGCATTTGATGCAGCGTTTCATTCTCTTTCTAAAGGTTATAAAGATGTTGCAATACAATCAATGAGCTTTTAGAAAATAACCAAAATCTGCAACCTATGCTTTTTGAGATGGCCAAGTTTCACAATTTTTCTAAAATTTTATAACAAACCTCAGAAGTAGTCCAAGTAATGGATGGATGGAGCAAACCCTACAGGAAACAGCACAACTTTTTTCTACTTTTCAGAGCTCGTCATAATTTCTGTATAAATTTTTTGATGGAAGCACCGAATTTTAGCAGGCTCGTCTCAGACACAAATGCATCAAACACCAAGAAATCGTCGGATTTTGAAACTTACAAAAAATGGATTATGGTTTTACACTAACTTTACAAAGCAAATGAGCGTTTACCGCTTCAGATTAGCAACTTTCGAAAATTCCGGGTACAGCCGGAGGCGCCTTGGAAAACCTGAATTATGATGATTTTATCTCGGAAAACTTGATGAATCGGAAACCAAAAACAACTGGTAAAAAGAGGAGAAAAAGCTGCGTCGAATGACACCCGAGTTGCTTGCCGTTGTTGGTCTGTGAGATTTGAGTTGACCAAATATGGAATTTGATGGCATTTTAAAACTGATTCCAAAAACTCTAAGAAGCAAGCTAAGGAAAAGAAAAAATTACGCTGTGTCCTATAGGGTTTGCTCTACCTATATGCCGCTTGTACTTCTTCGGAGAATAGGTACAAAAATTTTGAAAATTTGCCGAACTTGACCATGGCAAAAAGCATGAGTTGCAAATTTTGTTAATTTTTCGAAAGCTCAATGAGAATTATGCAGTGACATTACAACCATTAGAAAGAGGATGAAATGCCGCATCGAATGCTTCTAAGATTTCTTGCAAAACTTGATTCCATGAAATGTGGCGTTCCTTCGAAAAAAGCGACATTACTTTCGGAGCGACCTAATATTTAGAGCTCCCAGCGTCCCAAAATACGAATTACACAGTAGCATTGTGTCTGTACCTCATAAACTAAGGTTTAGAGGCAATAACTATACTAATATATCTATGTGTCAAGATTTTCAGTTTTTCAGGATTTCCGTTCGGGGGGAGGGGGACAAAAAAATTCTCCTGATGAAGATGCGTTGAATTAGCCACGCACTCCAAAAAAAATTTTCATATGCTTCCTAAAATTAAATTTCAGAAAAAGGATGCATGGCGTCAGCCATAACCCCGAAGAAAAAATTTTTATAGGGCTCAAATGAATTCTGAAAAAATTTTAAGTTTTATTCTAATCAATCACAAGTATAAACAAGTCACTTGACATTCTTATGACTCATGTAAGTAACTTCCACAAATTTCGCGACCCATTCCCCTCCCCCCCCCCCCCCGCCTCAGTACGCACTGCTGTATTAGCAAAGACCGAATAGCACTGAACTCAGCATAGAGAAATTCAGACAATCACCTACGAGTTATTGGCCTCAATGAAGTACCTCGACTTTGTGATGAAGGAAGCACTTCGGATGTACCCAGTTGCTAGCTTGTAAGCCAATGAATATTACTGCAAACACTTGGCTTACTTCCATAACAGCAGGAAGAATTTGCAGCGCCAACTCTCGTCAATGCATGAAATCCACAACACTCGGAGACATCAACATCAACAAGGGAACCTTTGTTATGATCGATACATTAACGCTCCATTACGATCCGGAGATATGGGGAGAGGATGCAAACGAGTTTCGACCTGAGAGGTAAGAAGTGAGTTAAAGACACCGTTCACATGAGAAGGCCCAGGAACGACCAGAACATGGAATCGAGAATTTGAGTGGACGGTGCCTTTAAAGGCAGTACATCGGCAGAATGAGACCCGTGACAAAACAAGTTCACAGGGTAGGAGCCCCCATATGGAACCTATGGGCCAAAGTACGATCTTCCTCTGCCACTTCTAACCCCCGAACTTTCAAAGCGAAAGCAGCGCTCATCTCCTGTCCTCTCCGAACCCACCCATCCCATGGACGAGTGACTTCCGCGGTCAGAGCGCCAGCCGCAATGCTATAAGCATGAGGTCCCGCAACGACTCTGCTCTTCGCCATGACGGGCTCCGCGTGTACTCGTCCATGGGGTGGGCGGGTTCGGAGAGGACAGGAGATGAGCGCTGCTTTCGCTTTGAAATTTCGGGGGTTAGAAGTGGCAGAGAAAGATCGAACTTTGGCCCATAGGTTCCATTACGGGGCTCCTACCCTGTGACCTTGTTTTGCCACGGGTCTCATTCTGACGACCCACTGCCTTTAACGATGTGTTGATCAACATAGAAGTCTGTGTGACAGCAATTCACCGTTACTGCAGTATCAGTTCAAACTCAAATTATAACGATAGCATTGAGAATAGACAATTGAGACAAATCAGGGCAATGTCCATACAAAGCTGGGACGATCCAAGTAATCCATCTTTCGTGACTCAAGTTGAATTATAAATGAGCGTTGGCCCCACAAATTTCTGCGTTGAGTGCTCTCATTTTCATCACCCAGCTTCACTACTCGTCCTCCCTTACATTTTCTATGACCGGTTTTGAATGTTTTCTTCTCGGTAATTTGTTCACTTCAAAGAGAGGAAAAGAATAGTGTTTCTGCTGAAAAACTGCTTTCTAGCTGTTTCTTCTAAAGGCAGAAAATCTTTTGTAAAGATGGAAAGAGAACAACGCCGTTTCCCACGTTCTTGTTGGCAGTATGACAGTGTAACAATGTCACTATCCGGCAGAGGGAAGCAAACCTTGCAAGAATCCCCTAATGGTCTCATTCTGTGCATGTATTTTGACACATTAAAGGCAGCGTCCACCCAGAATTTGCCCCCCCCCCCATGTTTCGTCATTCTGGGGCCTTTTTGTGGCCCCTATTACAGTTCCGAACTTCAAACTTTCTAAAATTCGCAAAAAACCCGATCCCGCCCAGCCAGGATCTTTCAGGCCCCTTATCTCCATTCAGAGACAACGTTAGAAGACCGGACCAACGCAGATGCCCCTTTTCTGGGGCCTACATTCAGGATCGACACTAATCGGAGGGGCTTAGGTTTAGCCTGGACACTGCCTTACGGCAACGTGGCCCACATCACGCAATTACGGCCAGATGGGACAAAGTGACCCACATGATGGGTCATAAATTAAATTCTGCTATAACAACTACTCTCGTGGGATACATTCGTTTCAGAAGTTTTCTTACGCTATAGGCCTAACAAATAATTTCGTGTATCTAGGCTGCTTCTTAGTACTGTAGATATACTGTAGATGACAAACTGCATGATTTTATCCAAAAATTCTCAACATATTTTGAAGGCATTGTCTCACAGGGCGAACAACTAAAAATTCTAATTGTTTTTAAATGTTAGCGAACTATGCTCCCAACGTACTAGTTACTGTCTTACTGGCTGTAAATAAAAAGAGAATGCGTAAAATGTCAATCTCAGCACAGTCATCACTCATTAAGTGCGCAACAGTTTCAGCGTTTCAAGGGCATCTTGACACAAGAACTACAAAAATCGCAGGGATCAAAAGGGTTACGGAAAACTGAAACTACAGGGATAGTAAGGATGGCCGAACTAGGGGAGGAAGTTACTGCTTCGCGAGGCGTTCAGAGTCAAAGTGCGGCTTCTACCTTGAAAATAGAGTAATTTCTCCGAAAACCAGAACATGAAACGAAAGTTTTTTGCCAATGCCCATGCAAATATAAAAGTACAAGCCCATATTCTCAAGCAGAGGACGGCGAGAAAGAGTGGCTCTTATTTCCTACAGACGATCTTTCTGCGTCAGCGATGTAAAAAAAACTGGCACGATCAAGCATGCAATTTCGAACGAAAAAAGTTGAAAAAATGTTTTGACAAAGAAGGTCGATGCTGAGTTTAGCAGGATCCACACATAGAGCTTACCGTAGCAAAGTGGGAACTAGCAGAAACTCGTGATGCAAACTGTGTGAAGTAGTCGTTTACGCAGCAATGTAATATAAACGTTATGCACATAATACATAGTTTGCCGACATTATCTTAACCATTTAGATGGCAAGAATTAGAGCGACCTGTAGCTTCATGGATTCCATTTGGTTTGGGACCACGACAATGTATAGGAATGAGGCTGGCGCAATTGGAGGAAAAGCTTGTGCTTGCTCATATATTAAAAAGATACGACATCATAGCTACAGAAGACACTGAGGTAAAATCTTATCTAGATAAGCTCCGAATATGCTGCAGAGCAAGAATTATATCAACATGGAATATTCGTGCAAGGAATGAAGCCCATGTTGTAACACACTTTGACTTGATTTCAATCTGTTAGTTGTGGAAAAAAACGCAATTATGGCTTTCTTCAGACTTGATATTCTCACTTTATTTTGCCATTTAAATGCCCTCGCGCGGCGTTCAGCTTCATTTGAGCATACAAATCTGCCTCATCGATCGAGATCACCACGTGAGTCCCGTCGCGGATGCGTAGGGACTCGCAAAGGGGCACTGCAAATGAGACAGAGTTTGAAGATCTATACCACTCTCAAAACGAAAAGACATATTTGGAATGCTTAACATGCCATCAGTCTTCTGAATCTTACATAGAAGAACAAGATCTTGAGTAAACTGAGGAAATAAAAGTCGTTCATATGCTCTCATAACATGAGATACAACTTTACGCTTAATTTACTTATTACAGAAAGAGCTTGTTTTGCTTGGATCCATGACAGTCGCACCGAAGTCCGTCACGGTAAAACTCGCTGCGCGAAAGCAGTAATCACAAGACAGTGTTGTTTTTATTGATAAAGGTGCTAATGAGATACTGTACAACAATCCACCATGAGTCAAGGAGATTGCATTCAGAGGAACAAACACAACACAGCTATTTGTAGTTTGAAATGCATTAAGCGTCAGCTAAAGCTCCCGAAACCACTGGAAGATTCTCTTCAAGAGGTCTTGCTGGACGGATATCGTGGTCTCAATCACTTGGTAGTAGGCAGTATCATAATTTTTTATCTCTAAAATAAGCAAGACGAAAATTGCACAATTTCGGGGTTTGAGATTCACCGTAGAGGAATTTTTGATGGAAGCAAGACGAGCTAGAGAGAATCTAAGTAAAGGCTCAAAGGTTTGAGGATGTTGCAGCTGTATATAAATGCTCATCCACATCCCACGATAAGCTGAAAACGCCAGAAAATAAGAAGTTTTGATTGAGTTGCAGGTCAAACCTTCAAATCATTTCAGCCTAAAATGAGGCGCTAGGGCGTGACGCCCATCAGCATAGATATCTAGTTTCTTTCGTATTCCTCTTTTTGATAGCCTTTCATTTACAGCTTCAACATTTTTGTTTTCGCCTGAGGCTTGGTAGCCACTAAATGGGGAGAAATCGCAGACAATAAGAGTTCGCCTAAGTATGAGCTTTCTGAAGTTATACCCATCACAAGCAGCATTTCTATAATGTCTCCTGAATTTAGATAGTTCCTGCGTTATTTTTCAACCCTGACAATCTCGCTGATTTTCAATCACTCCGGCGCATCCATGGTGGAACTGCTTGTACAGTCAATCTCAATTACGTACTCCCTTTCGCTTGGAAATTACGCATGCGCAGGGGGCCTGCGTGCGGACTTCACTCGATGAGGCTTATTTGAAGCCCAAGTCTATGAGCTGAGCTCGAACTTGGCGCGAAGCTCATTGCGTTTACGGAAAAGGGAGCGATTGACAAGGACTGTAGTGCGAAAAAAGCTGTCAAAGCTAAGAAAAAAGAAAACAAGAAATCCTGTCGCCCATCTGTCATGCGAGAAACTGCAGATGCAAATGCAAGAGATGACTTTCGAAACGACCCCAATTAAAATTTTCTCCAAGTCATTTGTAACTGAAAATGTGACCTTCACACTGTGCGCAGCGAACAGAGATAACCTTACTAGCAGCTTCTCAGTAAGACTTTTTCCACTTAACTAGAATTGTCTGCTATCTAATAGATTCTGTCAAACAGAAATGAGCAGGTTCTTGTCTTACAAGTCGTCAAGTAGCGCACATGGTGTAGCAATACGCATACTTAGTTACAAACTCGGCGATATGTGCGTCATCTTCATAAGGGCGTTTCGATTGTCTTGCCTAGCCAAGTCACGCCAGTTCATTTGTTACTGTAGCATGATCTCGCTCATCGGTGGTTTCCAAGGAAAAAAACAACAAACTTCTCATTACGTTATTTCCATCCTGTATACAAGTTAAGCACAAACGAGCGTTTGAACAAAGCATCAACTCTAAGAAAATGTGGAGGAGTAACAGCCTTCCAGTACTGTATAGAAGCAGGAAATAACAACGAAATTTTTTCTGCTACTACTTCAGTTTTGTGATAGATTTATGGCTTGCAACCAACATATATAAATAATTTTTAAGATAACATTCGCAAAAACCACCACACGCAAGCTATGAAATCCCGTTGAAGACATTCGCCTAATTAGAAAGAAAACATTGAAACCGTTTTGAATTTGCCTTCTGAGGCTAGTCATAGAGAAAGCACTCATTTTACGCGAATGTTATAAAAATTTGTACATATTTAGGTGGCAGTTGATGATACAGATGTCGAGGAATAATGAAGATCTAGTGACATAATAAAAAGTCAAAGTAAAAAAAAGAAACATTGAGGTAGAGGACATTTAACAGGAAGCATTCATGGAAAGCTAAGACAAAGTGAACAGTCCCCTATAAAAATGAGATGCATAATCATTGCATAATTCCTAGAAAGACTAAAAACAGGCGGTAATTATGACACCATAACATTCAGAGAAGACAATTCGGCTGCTATTCGGCGATGATTCTTCCTAAGACCTGGAACGTAATTCATCGTAACTGACTAGAATGACAAAATAAAATTAAACCAACCATTTACAGCTTCCTGGTTACCCTTCTGTAGCAAAGGTTTGGCATCGGAAAGTTTTTCCAGTGCCTGAAATTAAGGTTGCTTTTCTTGCAAACGTCATTTCCTGTTCCATAGATGCCCTTATTGCAGCCATTTATAAGATACTCCAAAAGCTTTTCAGCATACTTGCAAATAATATTGAACCTTTGTGTTCTCACTTGAGCAGCACTAACCTCGCCGTTCAGAAGCGCTCTCTTCAGCTTTTCATCTTCCAAAACTTCAGGCCTAGGCTCTAAAGCAAGCACCATAGACAACTCAATAAGGTGAGGAGATTACAAAACAACATCAATACTTTCAAGCAAATTACCTTTGAAACCATTGATGACTCTGCAACCTCTGCTACGTGTTTGCGTACGCGATGAATTACCCTGAAGATAAATTATAGTAAAACATGCAAACAAGAGGAAAGTCAAACCAACGTCTAATTTCGAAGGAAGCGAAGTCCTCTTGAAAGTGACAGTCGGCTTTGTCACCTTCCCATTTTGATTTTTTTGTCCTTTGTAAGGGCTCCTAGATGAGGAAGACGTTGAGGAGGCCGGCGTGGACTGGCGACTGCGCGCACTAGATCTTTTCTTCTTTGGGGAAGCTAACGAAGACGCGGCTTTGCGTTTTTGCTTTCCTTTTACTTGCTTTCCAGAATCATTCGGCACCACTTCCACCTCTTGGACAGCTTTCTCCACTTTTTCATGGACTGGAACTGTGAACATTATAAAAAGGCAAGATGAGGTGTTGCGAATTACCTACGGCCCCTAATGATCCAGTGCAGTTTGGAGCTCCACATTTGCAATCAGGTAGTGGGCAACCAATATTGTACTGTGTCATCTGATAATTGAAGCAAAGCTCGGTACCTGCAAACCGCACCATTTGAAGCAGAACATTTTGCAAAATTTTAAGATGACATAACGCTTATTGGACGCTCAATAGTGCCGACATTGATAGCTGAAACGTATTGCTGAAAACATTTTCTCAATAATATGTGCTCGCAAAAAACTCTTGGAAAAGGTAGAGAAGAGCAGGGTCGAATAAATCTAAAGGCGCAGGACGCAAAGCAATCTATAGTCTATTCTTTTCGTGTATAAATCTTTCATACAAGTACCTGGTATATTTCATGACTAAAGAACCAGACAAGATTATTTGCAGGAAAAAAATTAACACAGAGGAATCATTCGACATGGTGCAGCACAAATACACAGGCTTACTTGGGACTTTGCATACGAAATTTCTTCAAGACGCTAATATGAATTACCGTACTCTCGAAGGAGGGACATTTAGCAGAAATAGATAAACGGTAAGTAAAACGGCAAACAGATCCTCTCGTGAAGCACTCTCAAACATCTTCTACTGCGCGTGAGTATAAAACGTAGACAAATTATTTGATTTCAACTCCCTCCCTGATCTCTGCCTATCTTTTTAACCCAATAACAAAGCGCTACTGAAAGGTTGGGTATGAGTATAGTATACACAGCAGACCAAGAGAACGAAGTGTCGATGAGACAGCGAGCGTACGTGTCAACCACACTAAAGGAAGACTAGTGCTCTAGTGGCTTACCCAAATAGCTTTAATAGCTTAAGAAGAGCGAACGCTGTTACCTCAGCTAATAAAGAGCTTCGCTTTTCAACGAAGTTTTCAACTTGTGCACTATATTCCATCAAATACATCATCCCTATATGACAGGCTTTAGCTGTGAACGTCCGAGGCTCTAAACGCTATGAGTTGGCCTGGCTCCCAAACATTCATATAATAATGTCACTTTATCGGAAAGTGGGCTGCCGATGTTAAGCTCTCGTATGCTATACACGTTTTCGCACAGGTAGCTTTACTTATGATCTTGTAGATGTATAGAGCTGGACGTCTGTTTGTGTGTATGCATGTCTGCCTGCATGTATGTTCCAAATACAATTTTTATTTTTGAACCGATCCGGACCATACTTGGCACACATACACTACGCGGCTGGGCGAGTGTCGCATGCTATTTTCATAATCGATCGATATCGATTCTATCGATTTTTGCGAAGTTTAAGCTACGAGGCTGAGAGTTAGCGTAGGGGGGGGGGATAGTGAGCATGCTGATTACGGATTTATCGTTGACAGAGCCGGGCGGAGCCGGGTTTGCTACCCAATGTTTTATGAAAGTAAGTTGAGCAACGTATCTCATAGCCATCATCGTCATTGAGAAAACAACTATATCAAAGAAAGCTCACCTGCAGGAACATCTTCTATGGTACAAATCGTTATCCGTTTATCATACTGAAACAATAATCAATGATTGAAGCATTGCAATAGCAACAAAACTTACTTTCACAGTAGCACCATTTGGTCGTTTGCTTCTGTGTACCACCACGTATACCGTTTCCACTTTACAGTTCGGACTACAGGAGTGATTGAGGAACCTAAAAGCATCAGTGAAAAAATTGCAAAATGTCAGTTAATTGATGAAAGCATTATTCTTTCTTCAACGTGGGAATACAACTGCCACGATCAATGCTTCACTCTGCATTTTTCGTTGTACCAATGAGTGCAATATGTACATAGAGAAAATCCAAAAACTCCAAAAAGATTTACTATGTAAAAACTCCCACCTGGCATCATTGCCCTTCTCCTTGCAATCGATTATTCGCTGAGAATCCAAGGCCATCATGTAATGCTTCTCTTCAGCGTTCTTGTGAGCTGTTACTTCGGCAATTCTTCTGTTCTTTTCTGTTATGCTTATCAGCTCTCCAGCATATTCCGCAATGAAAGATCCCTGAAACGGTATGAAAATTAACTGAGAGGAAGTTTGAGTTTGTAGTCTTCACCTGATACAAACAAATTTTGAGTAAAGAATCAAGAAGAAAGAAACGAAAAATGCAATCCTTACAAACAAGAAGAGCTAAGGGATACCTTCGGAATGTCCTTTACTGCAAAAGCTCCCAGCCCTTTTCCCGGAGCCTCTCGGATTTCGACATCGGGATTAACTTCTTTACGAGATACACCTCTGTTGTTGCATCCACCCTCGATTGCCTCACATGCCTGAAATCTCACATAGCGACTACAGCTAAGATATCAACTCAGATCACCTCAGGACACTCTTGTAAGATGGCACGATTGGTGCATTTGGAATTGGGACCACATCGACCTTTTTCACCGGGTGGGCAATCGCACATACTATCACTTTCGTCGCATGCATCAAGACGAGGTTTCGGGCAGCTCGGATGATAGACAGAGGTCTGAAGATATGATGATACCGGATTTAGACAAAAAATAAAATTTTCAGCTTACATGCCTTGATTTTTGTGTACTTTTCCGGAACGTAAGCAAATGAAGGGCGAGAAATGGATAACTCGCTCTCCATCTTTTCCCAGGCTGAAAAGGGTCCCTCAATGTTGCGATTAAAAAATGAATGCAAACAAATCGATCGATTACAAAAAGCCGTAGTCACCTTCACGACATGGAATTTCTGATAACCGCCTTCCAATAAGATTGTACGATCCATCAAACATGGGAACTACGTTCCTAGCTGGTAAAAGTGCAAATATGTTGATGCATCCTGCCCATTTAACGCAGACGAAACCAGGCTGACCAAGATACTTGCCAAATTTATCCCTGCAAAGTGGAGCATTACCAAAATTTCTGACAAAAAGGTAATCCGTCAACACTAGGCAATAATAACCCACATTTTTGCGCAATGCTTGGGGTATTCAGCCAAACTTGTCACCGTTGCTGCATAAAAACTAAACACATACTGTTGTATTACCTATCAATAAGTAAGAAGTTAACTCACGATGCTTTGAATCTTGCTATCACTGCTTGTCCTATCCGCAAATTTTCTCCAAGGATGCACGACTCACAAACGGGAGTGCAGGGATCTGATTTTATATCCCGACAGCTCAAAGTGAGACATCCTTCATGGAAAGACCTCACGCACAAAGAGCACTTCGTTAACGGTTCGTCACCTGCAAATAGTAAGCAGCAATTTGCGTGATAGTGTAAGCTTGCCATTTGATGAGCAGAGGTCAAAGGAACGTCTAACGCTAAGAAGCCGCACTAGATTTATCTGCGTTTCAGTGCGGTAACGACGACGAAAGGACCGCAGTTATCAATAGATCATATACACCATCACGTTCAAATTGAAACGCTGATCTCAAAACTGTGCTGTCTGGTAGGAGTCAGAAAAAGTTACAAGTGGACATTCCCCCTAAAGCTAATGCGTTTGCAGAAGTCGGATTGGATAGGTGTTAAAGCTGAAGAATGCTGTAGTGGTAAATGTGTGCTGTGCTAATCTTGACTATTTTGACGAGCGCTATTTCCAAAGATTCTCCCTTTCTTTCATAGATTTTTCCGAAAAGGGCAAACGTAGTTTCGATATCGCTATTTCGAGGTAACATTCAACACATCTTTAAACGTTATGGTCACTGGTATTCTTCCATTTAGCATTAGACATTTCATCGTTCCTTTGTATGGTAGTCATAACGATAAGTAAGTTGTATACTGAAAGGAAACCGCTTTCTTCAATAGCATCCACATTACTTCCAGGATAACCATCTTCAAAGTGGAAGGGAGAAAAAGAAGAGCGAAGCTTTACATGCTTACAATTACGTGATATTAGACAAGGATCGTTAATAAAAAAAACGAATGAAAGAGTAACTATTGTGACTGCAGGAATAACATATATTAGCCTTACCTATGTTTTCGCACTCGCAGCAGTAAGGCAAGTGCGAACGCGTGCTCGCAATAAGAGGAATACGGGTAGTATCACAGTGGGCATGACAACGAGTGAATTTTTGTTTGACCTGTAAAGGTTGCAAATCGGAATTCTAGGTTTAACAAACTATGCAAAAAGCATGATCGAAGCAGTAAAAACCTCAATTGTGTTTCCTTCCTTGCTCCGCGCCACCACAAAATCCTCGTAGCTTTCGAATCCCGCTGGGCAACACTGCTCATGAAAAGCTCGAAAACAGGAGTCACATTCAACAAGCTTGCCTAAAAGCACAAGAACATCTTGGACATGTTGCATAATTGCAAAAATTCTCATCACCTCTAACCGCAGTTGTTTTCCACCGCTCCAAGTAGCAAGAGGAGCAAAAATGCAGTGGACATAACGTTTCGTCCACAATTTTGCGAATGCAGTTGACATTATATTCGGCAGCATTGTATGACTTGAAAAAGACGAACATTAGATGAAGAGATATCTTAAACTACGTCAATTAGATAACCAGAGCGCAACCGAACTAGCGCAAGTCTGGGATAGAAGAATTCCGACGCAAAGAAATACAAAAACAAAATACTGGGAGAAAACATGAGTTCAAAACACAACGACCAGCACGGAAAAGCAGTGCTGCGAGGATCGAAAGAAAACATGTGACGAGGTTACCTCGATGCAGTCTTTGTGAAAAGTGGTTGAACAGTATGCCCCTGGTGCGTACTTCTTCCCACAGTGAAGGAGATCGCCAAGATTACTGCCGCAGACAAAGCAACCATCTTAACTAACTTTAAATAACAACAGAGCAAGCAGGCCATGGTAGATACCTGACAAAGTATGACTGCCAACTTTCCCAGATAATCTATTTCTAATTGAAAAGATCTCTAAAATATCAAAAATCCAGGCACGAATGCATAAAACACTACAAAGTTCTTGTTTGACTGACCTCTTCTCGATTTTCTTGAGGAAGACCTGGTGGGGGACTGAGAAAATGACCTTTGCGTGGAGCTGAACAACAAAAGTAAACAGGTATCTGGGAAGAATGAAAGTGTGAAAGCGTCTCCTACCCGGCTTCGTTTGCAGTGTCACAAACAGATGGCACAGAAGAGACCGATGGCTTTTCTTCGCATGTAAGTTCCAGTCCACCATCTTCGGAGATTGTAATGCCAGATTCGCTATCGCAGATACTACCACAAGTGCTGGGCTCATTCGCGGCTCGAATCAACTCAACGGCGGAGGTTCCATTACACATCATTTCAGCGGGATTTATAGCCGCTGAACGGTACCAATGAACAGAGTTTAGCACGAGGATTAAAGACGCAACAAAAAGAGGACAGTAGAAAATAGAGTATTTTCTGAACTATTCATACTTTGTAGAGTTGTTTACGAGATCACGCACGATTACACTTCAAGAAATGCAGGTTGACAGCTTATGATTAACTTGCAGCATATTAACGTTATCATAGATTTTGGTTCCTTTGGGCAAACTGCCAAACAGATACGCATTCATTCTTCAGCGTTCCTAGGTTTGGAGTATGTGAGCGCATTCAATCCCTAGCGCCCAACAACACTATTAAACATTATGAAGGCTCCAACGAATTAGGCCGAAACGAAACAAATAAAGTTAATGAAACCTAGTTTTAGCTTAACCATTCCAAGACTTTCAGAATGCCAAAATTCACGGAAAGTCAATGATATATCATTTGAATGCGTATACTAACTTCAATCTAAGTTGATGGGAATTACTGCATTGAGTGACTATCTGTGGTGCTAAAAGAGGAAAAAATATGTAAAACACTCGAGTTGAAAACAATATTGATCAAATACTAGAGCGCAGGCAGTGAGAAGCAAAGAAAGAGAGATCGAAAAATGGTTGAACTAACCTGGAAGTGAAGTACCAAACTGTTCCATTGCACGTGGCACATCATTCGAAAAATTGAAAAAAGTCCTCACAATTCTTGAAATTATTTCTGAGGCCGTTTTGTCAGCAAATCGAGTAGTCTAAATGGCACCAAAGGTTATCTATATTTCTCCTCATCTGGCCCACACCATATATTGCGGTTTGCGTCAGAGCGAGACTTGAACGCTCCCGCGCTGACGATTCTGCGTCTCTGCGATCAACAACGCAAGCCGACCTTTCGAATGTCGCACGCTAGGGCTGCGGACGGACGCGATGGTTGATTGATAATAATATGCAGACTGAACGAACCTCTGTGAAAAGTGCCAGCTTTTCTAGTTCAGGTACTTGCCCAGGTGTTCCCCCACACAACACGGCGATTAGTTGACGGAAAGCATCCACTGTTGGGCCTGAAGGGCGCATTTATGAGCATTCCTAATGTTCAGAAACTAGGAAAGCCTCCCATTAGTGCGAGATGTGGCTTTGGAGAAGGTATTACCCCGTCGTGAGGCATCTGCAACTCCCATTTTTGTCAGCATATCCAAAGCAACGTCGAGTTCCATTGACTCCTTCGTGGCACAGCTAGATTCCAGTAGCACAGTCCTGCTCTGTGAAAAAAGCAAGATTCGAGACAACGATTTTATCGAAATTACTCTATACCAATACCTTAGCGTCGGTTAAAGCTAACCAATTGATCATCAAGGTGAAGTCGTTGCTTAAGTCGTTTTTGAAATGGTCTACAAGGATTTCTTGGCACTGAAAAAAAAGATGAATCAGCTAGTTCCTTCAAAAGTGCTTTTTTACCTTCTTTTTGGAAACCGTTGATGCCCATTTTTTGTAAGTTCCAAACCGGAGAATAAAAAGTTCACTGATTTCTTCGTCAAGGTGCCTATTCATGGAAGTGGACGCCGCTTGACCACTAAAAAGTAAACTTTGCAACAGGAGAGAACACAGAATTGTGCGAATAAAAGCCAACACACCTTTGGATGTTTTTATCAGATTTTGCATCAGTTTGAAGACCCGTCATAATTTGCGGTTGCCGGGAGGCATCCTTGACCATAACTGCAGATTAGAAAACGAAAATTGTTGACATGCGCAAAGGTAAAGGGAAACCAGATGATGAGTCAGCTGAAAAGAAGATTCTGTGCTAAAGTTCACAGCATAGCGCTAGTTTGCAGCGTCGAAGAAGAGGTCAGGAATTGGCGCGAGCCCGTGCAGTTTGCGCAGTCAAGGAGCGAACATCGATCTGCTCTAGATTCTGCCGCAATAGCGGAGGACCGCCGTTGGGCCTCGCTTTCACACAGACCAGTTGTTGTCACACGTGAAAGCTTTGCCTTGTAGGTGGACATGGGGGATGCTATCTTTGAGATAATAGCGAAAATTCATCAAAAAAGATATCAACAGGGCCTCTTTGCGCTCGAGCGGGAGAGGCTGAACAGAACCGTGCAACAATGCGAATTTAAAGCATTCTGCAAGGGATCACCCTCAAACACCATGCACCTCACCAGCCCCAGTTATAGAGTAGGAGAAGGCCAGTGTATCGTTTTCCCCGAAAGTGCTGCTACATTGCTCTGCGTCTATGACCTGCAGCACGTATAACATGTCAGCAACAATGCTATAAAATGTTGGCAACATGCAGCAACGTGCTGGCAAAACGTTTTCGTTGTCAGACTCAATGCCAGCTTGTTGCTTGTGTTGCTGACACTCGCTGCCGTGTTGCTAACATGTCGGATATATTATAGGCTGGGTGCATACTGATCTGTAAGTTCCGGAACAGTTCCAGTACAGTGTCCAATTTGTGCGCAGTGCTCGAACTGTTCCGGAACTTACCGATCAGTATGAACCAAGCCATGCGTGTCTCAGGTCATAGACGCAGGGGTAGGGGAACGAAAGCCGCCAGTTTGAGCCGCCTTTCGCGGCTAACTGGTCCTTTCGCAACGTTGTTGCATGTCGTTCCAGGACCAGCAGTCCGCGCAGGCGACCGAAGCTGGCGGCTTTCGTTCCCCTACCCTCGACGCAGCGCAAGAGTAGCGGCAACTGGTAAGGGACGGTACACTGCAATGCTCAATGAATTTACTGGAGTTACATCCCAACAAGATGCTGTTCGCAACTTCTTGTCGCGATCAAAAGTCGCTAGACGTATAAAGGGTAGTTCTGAGAACACATCCGCTATCTCGAATCCGGATTTTTGACCCTCAGCAGTGTCCGGATAGGACCACTTCGAATTGTATTCTCATAAATTTTGCATTGTCAAGATTTCTGACTTTCATTCGTTCTGAATTCGATCAAGATACATGCAGTGCGGTGAGCGCAAGCAGCAGCGACAATCACGAAAGCGGTAGCGGTTATGGTCCACTAGAAAGCTGTTGTTGCCTCTGCTGTGCGTCTCTGAGCTGGCACGCGTTTCCAACCAACGTGCAACAACTGTTGATTTCAATGCTAACAGTCCACATGGTGCTAGCATGTTGTTGCAACTTGCCAACGTGCCACAAGCGTCTTGCAGGTCAGAGAAACAAACAAGGGTAGCAGTAATCGTGGGGTGTACGCTAAATTGATGGCTTACGTAAATTGCGAGAATAAGTGGGAGGTATTTTGGCTGATGCTGAACAAATCTGCGCGTGATGTAGAACGATGCCACCTTTGCACCAGCGTACAGACAATGTTTACGTATTCCCTTTCGCATAGGAAGTACGCATGTGCAACGCAAGGGCTCTGCGTGCGGACCTCCAATCAATGAGGCTACTTTGAATGCACGGGCCATCTCAGATAATCCCGGGGGGGGGGGGGGGGGAGGCGGTCCGCAAACTCGCGTTTTCTTGCCGTCCTACTGTTGTGCATCGTGTTGGGACCAGTGGTCGCGGAGGCGGTGCCTATTGAGGTGTTCGTTCCTCCACCCGCCAAACCTTCAGCGGGCGGTGCCTCCTTTACTGTCGAATGTCCTGTAGCGGGGCAAATTACAAAGTTTTCTGCGGGCGCTCGTCAATTAATCTCTTCCAGCGAGCGCTGGCCAAACTTTCAGCAGACGCTCGGACTCTCTTTGAGCGATTTCGGGCTTCCTCGAGCAAATGTGAGACTCTTGCTGCAGAGGTGTCATCGATGGTTTAATCACTCAATTTTGAGGTACTTTCTCTTAGCGGAAAGTAGCTGAGGGCTGTGCGGTCCTCCACAAAGGACCGCGCGGCCCTCAATAATTTTGCACATTCTCGCGGAAAGTCCGCGAGAATGTGCAAAATCAAAATGCACTAATCTATGGGAAAACCGCGATAGCTCTCCGAGCATTCGTCTGAAAATTGGTCAACATTTATCCAAATTTCTGCAAGCGGGCCGCAAGAAACCAGCGAACTATTTTTCCGGTGCCCGCCCACCCATAAATCGCATGGGCACCTGCCCTCGGCGATTATCTCCGCGGCGAGCGGAGAAGCGAGCACGTGATTGACACGGACTGTATTCTTGAAGGCAGTGGATCAGCAGAATGGACCTTTGGATTTTGGTAGTGTTAGGTAGTAGACCCAACGAATACATCGTAGCCCCAATCCCACCCTCCAAATTACGCGTTAAGAATCCTGAAAGAGCGCTTCAAAACTCCACCAAAGACGCCCACTCAGTGGAAGTGGGCGGAGCTGGTGGAGTTTTGAATCTCCATTACAGGACTTAGATCCTGAAATGGAAGGTGGGATTGGGGCAATGGTGTATTTGGGGGTCTACTACCTAACACTACCAAAATCTGATAGAGGTCCATTCTGCTGATCCACTGCCTTTAAATTGTTCTCAAGTCAACCAGTGTTGTCAAGTTTGTGTGCTAATGTAAAACACGTCTCTACAAAAGTCAATAGGCTAAATAATCAAAAATTTGAAAAGTACCAATGATTTAATATGGATGCAGCGTGAAACCACTTGGAACAACGCAACATGACATAATGTAACGCGGAGAGCATAGCAACTGCACCTGTAATCGTAAACGGGCCAGGGGGGAGGGGGGAGGGGGGGGGGGGGAGAAGGAGAGGTGGAGATAGTTGACTACACACCAGTGATGATAGCTGGATTTCCGCCCGCGGAGAAATAAAGAATTTTTCTGAAGATGCGTGGCGTTAGTCACGCATTCCAAAATTTTGAGATGATTCCCAAAATTTTTGGGACGCGCGGAAAATATTAGGCTGGAAACTAAGTTTTGCAACTGGTCTCATAACTTCCCTCTCACTGAACGTGGCGCACTCAAATTTTGGCATTATGTAAAGACTAATGTGTGCTACAAGAAAGCGCAAACCGTTTGAATTTTGAACGCGAAATGGAAAATTTTCAGGCATTTTTCGAAAACTAGTAAAATTTGAGAATTTTTGGGGTTTCAAGATAAAATGATCTTTAGCAGCCTAGACCATGCGCAGTAATCCGGACTCGTCTGAAAATTATTGCTGGAGGTTGGCTCCTTTGGCCCAATAAGAAAGAAGCAAAATTTAGGGGCATGTCGAAATTTGGTGTCCTCACAAAGTCGAACGAGTCGATGTACGCAAGAGCTGCTAGGACGACCGTCAGTGACTAAAGAGTCGGAAGCTCAAATTCCGCCGAGACTTTACACAGTAAGGTTATTTGACCTGCCGAACGCGAATATCATATTTATTTGTTGAATCAATGCCTTTTTCCTTGTTCGAGGTGAGAACCCATATCGTACACCTACAGTATTTCTACAAAAAAACCCTTATCACATAATTTCACTATCGTTTCCGCGATCAGCATGTCAGATAACACACCTATGCCAAGTTTCAGCCAAATCCGTCGAACTTTGAATTTTTCCCCTTCATACCATACACCTACCGTAATCCTCACTGCGACATCAGAATTTGGTAGACCAGCAGCTGCGCTTGTAGCTTACGTAATAATCAACACAGTGGCAAATTTTGAGTGCGCCATGTTGAGTGAGAGGGAAGTCATGAGAAAAGTTGCAAAACTTAGTTTCCAACCTAAAACTTTTCAGAATACTGAAGATTTTCACTCAAAATTAATTCCAAGTATAAACAAGTCACTCTCACGTTTTTACGACTCATGTAAGTAAACTAAAAAAAATTCGACACATCCCACTCACCTATACTCTTGGCGTAAGAACTATGCATGCGCAGTCTTACTTGGGGACCTGCAATCGTTGGGGCCAGTGTAAATGTCCAAGCCATAGCGCGCGGACGTGGCGCGAAGCGATCTTTGAACAGGAGACTGGCCAGATCCTGTCTGCAATTTTGTGGAGACGTTTGTAGCAGTCATTCAAGGTAATGGTAGATAGAAAAGTAAGACCTTTGTCACAAATTGCCCGTTATCCAGATTTGATCCAAGCCGGATCTGGAACGCATGTAGATTGTGCAGACGCCTCCGTGCGCGCTGCACAAGAGCCGTGTCCAGCATGGAAGCGTCACAAGGTATAGGGCATACGAAGAATTGTGACGATGGCCGAGCACGACACCCACGCATTTCCGACAATCGCATTTTCTTGTTTCTATCTTCACTCAAATAATTTTTTCTGCTCATCTTATATATAAAGCTGAATGTCTGTTTGTATGTATGTCTGTCTGTCTGTCTGTCTGTCTGTATGTATGTCTGTGTGTACGTATGTTCCGAATAGAAAATTCCATTTCTGAACCGATCCGGACCAAACTTGGCACACATACACTTCGGGCCCCGGCGGGTGTCATAGGCTACTTTTCGTCATCGATCGATATCGATTTTATCGATTTTTATCGATTTTTTTGCTGAGTTCACCTACGGGGCTGGGAGTTGGCACAGGGGGGTAATCGAGCATGGGGATTCCGAATACAATATTGGGTTTCAGGATTATCGATTACTTTTATCGATTTTATCGATTTTTTTGCAAAGTTTGAGCTAGGGGGCTGGGAGTTGGTAGAGGGGGGTAATCGAGCATGCTGATCATCCCCAAGGGGGGTGATCAGCATGCTCGATTACACTCCTGTGCCAAATTCCAGCCCCCTAGCTCAAATTTTCAAAAAATCGATAAAATCGAAAAAGTAATGGACGATCCTGAAAACTAATATTGTGTTCGTAATCTGCATGCTCGATTACCCCCTGTGCAAACTCCCAGCCCCGCAGGTCAAACTTTACAAAAAAAATCGATAAAATCGATAAAAGTAATGGACGATCCTGAAAACTAATATTGTGTTCGTAATCAGCATGCTCGATTACCCCCCCCCCCTGTGCAAACTCCCAGCCCCGCAGGTCAAACTTTACAAAAAAAAATCGATAAAATCGATTAAAGTAATGGACGATCCTGAAAACTAATGTTGTATTCGGAATCCCCATGCTCACTTCGCCCCCTGTGCCAACTCCTAGCCCTGTAAGTGAACTCTGCAAAAAAATCGATAAAAATCGGTAAAATCGACATCGATCGATAACGAAAAGTGGACTGTGAAACCCGCCAGGGCCCGAAGTGTATGTGTGCCAAGTTTGGTCCGGATACGGCGGAGCCGGGTAAGCCAGCTAGTTTATGATAGTATTCAGACATTGGAAGTGATTGAGCTGAGCGTTGACATTATGTCTTTTTGTAAGAGTGTTTCATGCTCCTGTGCGCTCAAAGACCGCGGTTAAACCCGTCATCACGATTTTAGGAATGACCTATACAGTCTCTCCCAGTCGGGAACAGCCCTAACCGTTTCTACTTGTGCCCGCAGCGCTATGCGCATTATCGGAGAGAAGAGGTTGGAGAGAGAGCATAAATGTGATGCAAAAGTCGCGCTAAACTTCAGACGGACTCCCGCCATGCCAATTTTGCCCTGACTGACAATGAGATTGTTCCTATATACCTTCGATTCGTTGCGCACAAAGACTGCGGACGTATCGGCGCCTCTGTGATCAAGCGCTCTTTCGTTCCTCTTACCACCTGCTGTCTCTCCCACGCACCAGCTATTTTGGTCGTACGCAATGGCGCCCAGTCTTTGTGCGTTTTGAATCGACGATAGTAAGGCTGCGTTCAGACTGATTTCGAAATCCGGGAACAGTTTCAGCACAGCGCTCATTTCAAGCGCTGTGCTGGAACTGTTCCCGGACTTCGGGACCAGTATGAACGCAGCCTAAGCGCAACCGCCTGCGTGTGTATGCAAATCAAATCTGAATCCGATGCACATCACGGGCAACTACGACAATTCTTTCACCGTCCCTCTATAGAGAAACAGCTTCCACAAATGATGGTTTGCGTAAATTTTTATGTTTCGCTTCGTTTTATGCGCTTTATGATTCGGAACTGGTTCCAAATGGTGGTATTTGTTTGCAGTGATAAGTCGTGTCTCTCCTTGCCATAGATGGCATGGGATGAGCTCCTCCAGCTGACTGGTCTCGGTTGCTGAATCCCGAGAAAAGAGGGCAAGGGAGGAAGGGGGAGGGGGGGGGGGGTGACACACGAATGCGCCTAACGAGTGGAAGACCAGAAAACTGCACATGAAATGAGCTGTCTTGACATCCCTTCTTTTCCAAACTGGGGTACGAAATACGAACAAGACTCGGCCGTACGTCTTAACGTATTTGAACTCTTTTGTAGACCAATTTGTAACGACAAGTACTGTAGTCTAGGTGCACTAGGGATAATAACCTTCAAGAAGTTGGTTTCAGATGTTTTAAAGAGGTCTGAGTCGTTCTCCACTTGCACTGACGTAGCCAGTAATCTCTGTGAGATACAGTCGATAGATTTTCCGCTTAATATCTCAGGTAGGTGCCAGAGTAAGCGAATATTTTGTTCAAATTGGGATCCCGCGCAGAACTGGCATCACTAATCATTGTGGCACAATGCCAACTTGGCGTTGTGCCACAATGATTAGTAACGCCAGTTCTGCGCGGGACCCCAACTTGAACAAAATATTCGCTTACTCTGGCACCTACCTCAGATAATCGCCGGGAGCAGACGGTCCGCAAACTCGCGCTTTTCTGCAGGGGATCAGCAGAATTTTGGGGCGTAGCCAAACATCCAGCGGGCGGCACTTCCTTTACGGTCGCATCTTCTGCCACGGGCAACAATACACCATTTTCTGCAAGCGCTCGGTAAATAATTTCTTTCAGCGAGCGCTGGCTAAACTTTCAGCAAGCGCTAGGACTCTTTTAACGCAGTTTCGGGCATACGCCGAGCAAAAATGAGACTCTATGTGGCAGAGGGTGTCATCGATGGTTTAACTACTCAAGTTTGGGGTACTTTCTCTTGGCGGAAAGTACCTGGACACTGCGCGGTCCTCCACAAAGGACCGTGCGGTCCCCGTTAATTCTGCATATTCTCGCGGAGAGTCCGCGAGAATGCGGCCACTTCGCCGCAGCTACTCTACAAGGAAACCGCGATTGTTCTCCGAGCATTAGTCTAAAATTTCGCCAAAATTCTTTCAAATATCTGTAAGCGGACCGCAAGAAATCAGCGAACTATTTTTCCGGTGCCCGCCTGCCCATAAATCGCATGGCCGCCTGCCCCCAGCGATCTGGGATAGTGTGCTGGTAAAATTTGCGCTCAAAGAAATAGCTATGCCTGTGACGCCGGCCATTTGCGCGCGCAAAATGTTGGCATTACCACGCGTGACTACTTGTTCAAGTGGGGTAGGGGAACGAAAGCAGCCAATTTGAGCCGCCTTTCGCGGCCAACTGGTCCTTTCGCAGTGTTGTTGCATGTCGTTCCAGGAAGCAGTCCGCGGAGGCGACCCAAACTGGCGGCTTTCGTTCCTCTACCCGTTCAGGTGCAAATTTTACCGCATTTCACCTTCAGTGCAAGCACACTATATTAGGCGGAAAATCTACTCGACTGTATGCATGCAGGCATTGTTACCAGATGATTTCCCTTTTCTACAGAAATGTACAGAAGGATCTCAATTCTATACATTTATTCTCAGCAAGCCATAATCTTCAAACTACATTTTTCAAGATTTGGTACACAGTAGCGGAGGAGTACTTAGAGAAATACACAGAGCTTCCTCCTTGGCAGTAAACTGTCATATTATCAGTCACCACTACCTGAAATATATGCTTGTATAGCAGCGAGAAAAAATTCAATCATCGTTTTTCCATTTGTGACGATTGTTTACATATATTGGAAAGACGAAAGAGCTCATACAAGCATTTATCTGATTATTCAACCTCTGCTATTACTTGTGTTAATAAGTCATACAGAAGCTGGCCATATCGAATAATATGCTTGGTAATAGCAAAAAATACAGCGAAAGGGCAACAAGAAATTGCAAGGCTGTGCTTCTGATGACCTTTTATGGTTTCTCTCTGTTTTTTTATTTATCGCAAAAAATCCTAGACTCATAGGCACCTGTATCCATTCATTGAACTTTCGCATATCGGCTGCATAAATTACAACAATACCTTCGTCAGGGATACTTGGTGACCTTCTGAAAGAATAAACACGTAGGCTTCATGATCTCTATGTATGAAGTTCAGAAGCGGTATAGAACGGTAAACTAAGTATAAAGGACAAAAGAATAAAGGATTCGGAGTCTTCAATACCCTCTGCGGGCGTACTCGAAGCAATCTAGTCATAGGTGCGACAGGGGCAGGGTCCCTTCCAAGTGGAGGGGGTTTTGGCTATTTCTGACTTAGAAAAGTGAAGGGGGTAAATGGGCCTTGAGGTGAATGCTGACGCAAGCTTATATGTCTAGCGGGAGCGGGAGTGAAAAGAAGGAAAGTAAGTGGTACAGAGGTGTAATGTAAAGATTTCCTCAATACTTAGGCTTTGGAAGGTCATCCAACAGAGACTTTTTGAATCAGGAAGGCTTTATATTTCATCAGTCGGAAACCATTCGAAGGCTTGGAGCATATACAATCGACTTAGACCGTCTCTTTTTTCCAGCTCTTCGGTGAATATAGATATAAAAAATCATATCTAGTTCCAGCATCAGCTGATTTCATGCAATCACTTGTCACTCCATTTCTGAAAGAAAGAGGAAAGCTAGAAAAAGAGACGGTCTAAGTTTACTGGCAAAGTCTTGCTCTGTAATAGGGTTAGACAATTGGGCATTTTCAATCACTCTTTGCATAGAAATTTCCTCACAAAAACACACATGTTTTTAGCTAAAATGCCATATATCTCTGAGTAGAGGGAGCTAGAGAAAAAGAGACGGTCTACGTCGAATCCCTTTTTCGGGGCTTTCTAACGGTAGTTAGGTTCTTGGGTGAAAAAACTTGTGGCTCTTCAAAAATGAGGTGGAGATATTCAATACTAATTTGCTCCACCTTGCTCCGGCTTTCTATGGGTCGCCGGAGCAAGACTTTTTTGGACAGGGAAAGCTTCGTGCCAATTTGTATATTTGATAGCTAAGAACACGAGGAATCGACGTAGACTGTTTCTTTTTTCCTAGCTTTTCTATGTAACGAGATGCGAGCAGTTTTATCTGGCTACAATATCAGCCAATTCTGGATAATTATCTTTTCAAACCGAGAAGGTCTTTTTCGAACTTGGTTCGAAAGCTCAAGAAACGAGTAATTTAACAATAATCTAACTGCTGCGCAGAAGGTCTCAAGCATGCATTTTTCAGCAAAACGCTGTTGCTTCGATACCCTCTTGCAGTTTTGATGTCTAAAGAGAAGAGCTGGCGTTTCCTTTCCAAACAAAAAGTGCCCTTGTAGCAGCTGTTCGATTCTGCCGCTACGCCTTGATTCTAGTCTCAACCTCAGGTGAAAGGGATCAGCCAGATGCCGGTCCTAAAGTGAAGGGGATCAGAGAAATTTCTCCACCTATTGCATCTATGATTCTAATTCGTAGTCGAAAAGGCAGGTGGATGCATGCAGGCCTTTTGCGAGAGTCAGCCAAACACCTAGTGCTTTTATCCTCTAAGGGCCGCATGCACTAACATCCCTGCGGCGAGGGGAGCGGCGTCCCCAATGATGAAAAGATCGCAGCGGCGTCCGCACGCGGTCCCTTCATAACGGGGGACGCCGCTCCCCTCGCCGCAGAAATGTTAGTGCATACGGGCCTAAGGGCCGCACGCACTAACCTCCCCGCTGGGGAAGGGATCGCAGCTTAAAAGAAAGCTTTATATTTCGAAATTCCAGACACCTGGATTTCACGTTGTGTACCTATCCGTAAGTATTCCTACTACCCTTCACTACAATGTTGAACAGGAGCGAGAAGCTGTACGAACCGCATTTTCCAGCTTTTGTATGATCCCTGATGATCCCCGGCGCTTTTCTTTAAAGTCATTTTTCTTTCTCCGAAGTTGACGAAAACCTTCCAAAGTGTACTGAACATCTAACACAGCAGTGCTAAGCATGTTGCTGATGAGAACAAATGAGTTTTTAAAAAGTCGAATTTTTCGGTAAACCTCAAATTTCGACTTGTGGATCATCGAAAATTTCATGACTTCAAAACATCATTTGTTCTTATCAGCAACATGCTTAGCACTGTCGGGTTAGATAATCTGCACAACTTTGGAGGTTTTTCGTTGACTTCGGAGAAAGAAAAATGACTTTAAAGAAAAGCGCCGGGGATCATCAGGGATCATACAAATGCTGGAAACTGCAGCTTTACAGCTTCTCGCTGCTGTTTAATGTGTTCATAGTGAAGGGTAGTAGGAATACCTACGGATAGGTACACAACGTGAAATCCAGGTCTGGAGTTTCGAAATATAAAGCTTTCTTTTGAGCTGCGATCCCCCCCCCCGCGGGGATGTTAGTGCATGCGGCCCTTAGATTACTGCTGTAGCAATTTACCGGCCTTGAAGGGTAGAGGCAGGCCGGCACGGATTGTTTGAGGTCAAACTGGACTTCGTTTTTGGACTAGAAACAAAGGGGGTATCGTAAAGTCTGCTATACAGACAATTGAGTGATCTCCAAATATGCTAACCAGTTGGCACGTGAATGGCATGCTCTAACGTGTTCTTTTTCATCAAGCGCCAAGTTCAAAATGATGCTCATATAAACAAATGTCTTGTACAGCGCACAAGCAATCACATGACACCGAATTTGGCCTATGTGTATTCAATATTCCTCCAAATCACATTATGTAAAAAGTTTGAAAAACTTATGTGTTAAATACCCGTTCTTGAATTTGTTGGTTTCTAGACCATTACCAAACCAACTGAGTTGGTTCGCAGCACAAATAATGAAGAGTTCACATAAGTTTTGGACCTGTTTAATTTGGACGATTGGAATGCCCAATTATCTATCATATGAAAAAGCGAACAAAAGCACTGCCTCTCTTTTTTTGAGCCAAAAATAGTGTAGATAAACGTATTGGTAGATACGCTCCAATCACTAATTTGTCAAGACGTCCTTTAAATTGGCGTACTAGCTTGTTCCACCTAAGAATTTGGTGAAGAGTGTCTTAATAGTAGCTGTTTGCTCGCAGAGGCCGACGTTCCCAGGTGAAATTCATTATGCTAAGAACTTGGAAGCTTGTGATTGGATTTGTTGAAAAGTGTAGAAAATGTGAGGATTCTTCATACTCAATTCTATCACGATCGGCATGAGGGCTTTGCGCTGAGAGTGAAGTGAGTGGAATAACGCATATCACACAAGAACAGTCTGCTCAGTTTGCCTGCACCTGCCCTGTGTGTGCAAACATATGAAATCGCGAGCACTATGCCCATGCACGCGCGACGGACTACATCGTCGTCGTTTTCCACAAACCATCGAAATCTCCGGCGATGAAATCGCGACGACGAAGTCGCGAACACTATGCCCGTTGCCGTACGGGATCGCTAATCGCTCGGACCTGGGCATGCCATTGCAGCGATTTGTGCACTCTCACAATCCAGCGCGCCAATAAATAGTCGTGTCGGATGATTTTTTCTTCGCGCTTCAATGTAAGGGACACAAAATAATAAGCATGTGTTATCACCTTCAATACTTGGTTTAGAATTTATGTTTATTATAAATCACCTCTCATATGCATTTTCGATTGAAAAATTACCTTCTTATGAGTGAAGTTGCAATTTGCCACGATTTTGGCGTGATCCACTGATATTGTTATATCAGATCAAATTAAACGTTCAGTCAGGCCAACATTTAAACGGCAAATTGCATAAGATAGACAAAATGCGGATGGGTACGAAAACATTGAATTACAGGAAATGCATTTTAGAAACTTGATTAGATTCCAAACCCTAGAAAGAAACCAGATTCATGCAGTAAAGAAAGATCACAAATTTTTCGGAAAGGAATTTTAATCCTAGCGAAGCTCTCGCATCGCTCGCTTCAAATCAACGCAAATTGGCCTACATTAGCTAAAATAGCGAGAATTCACCGATCCAGGTATGGCTTAGCAAAGACGGTCAGCGATATGTCGTGTAGGACAACTAGCACATCTGACACGCATGAAAGCCGAGCATGCATTCGATGTGTAATAGTTGTCTTTTCGCAGAATTTGCGACGTGATGAATTCGCAAGGCTAGATTCTAATGCCTTTTTTTCAACTGGACGATAACTCTGCTGTTGATTCATGTTAGAATTATTCATCACGGGCCTTGAGGATGACTGTGGAACAACAGGCGTTTTTGCTTGTTTCTCGCGGCAGCGCCTCAAAGGCAGCTACTGCGCAGATCTTCGACTTTCATGCTTTTCATCTCGAGCCTTTTCATGGCCCGCCAAGCCTAAATTTCAAATCGCACAAAACCCCCAAAACCCCAGTTTGGGAACCCTATGTTGATAAGCCGGACGACTATTCCAACGCTAATATTAGGTTGCTCTGAAGGTTTTGTCCACCATTTTCGTCGCTCACCAAACTCACAGAACACCAATCCACTCAGACAAATCACGGGAACTTCCCGAGGGGCAAGCCAATTTGCCAAACTTCCCGAGGGTTTCATTTAGCACGTAAGTGAATGGAGCCGTAAAAATGGGAACTTCCCGAAAACTTTGACGTCAAGAGCAACACAGTTAGGAACTTCCCGAGGAAGTCCTCGGAAAGTCCTGCAAAATGCAGAACCTCCCGAGGATTTAAAATTGAGGGAACTTCCGCAGAGCTGTTTTGCAAGTTAGCAAAACAGTGCTGTTTTGCTTGTTTTGCAAGCAACACTACCTGCATCATAATGATAAAGTTAAAGTTTGATAAGTTAAAGCTTAAGGTGCTTCATTTCTGTCTATCACCGTCGAAAGGATAGGTAACTGTTACAATATTGATACCTATCTATAGTGTACGTCCTCCTTGTGTCACCTCAATGCGATGTGTGTTAAGGAACACAAATTGAAATTCCGGATCACCCGCTGGGGCCCCACCGTGCCATACTTGCTAAAATTTGATAAAAAAATTGCTTTTTTTTCATGATTTCATGCTCTTTTGTTCCGTTATAACTCTACGCACGTCTAACTTTCGATGATTTGTCGACTTTGTAGGTCCTACATGCCGTGGATCGAACATCTCAAAATTCATCACTTTTACTTTCTAGTAACTCAGACAAATCAAGGGAACTTCCTAAGGGGTAAGCTAGCGGCCTGCTTACCGTTTTGGATCTTTCTTCAGTTGTCGTATTAAAAAAAAAGTAAAGTATCAATCTCTTAGGCAGTACGAGATCGTCTTCCTTCTCATTGATGTCGAGAATTGTGCTGTTGGTGCCGATTTTTCATTCAGAAGCTTTATATCGATAGTGGGATTGAGGAGGAAGTTGAAAGTCGTACTGCCTAAGTTAAAGAGCCGTGCATAGTTCACGCGATTTCAGTCGCGTGAAGTATTTGCATTTTTTTCATTCAGTCATTTCATTTCCAATCAGTTCTGCAGCGAAGACATCCGCTATTACCGTTTGCACCAAGGGAAACTTGTGCCATCAAAGGTATAAACTTGGTTTACTTTATCTTACGCATTTACGTATTTTTTCCAGAAATACAAACGACGCAGGTCGGCTTCGGTAGAGAAGACAAGGCACGCATGACGAAATCGGAGTGGAGGAGACAAGCGCTGCACATAAAGGAGATTTGATTCTGCAGTCTCACGCGTCCAACCCATGATTATCATTCTTTTTGTGCCATATCACATGATGCCTCTTCTCATCCTCACTATGTTTGCGCTCGCCTACCGTCAGTACATGCTACTTCGTACCTAAGTATGGTACTCCATCCGCATCATTCAGGCAATTTAAAGTTGGAAACATGCTAAAAAGATTTCCTCGGTGCCTTTCTCAATGTACTCTATGTGTGCTCTAACAATGAATGATGAAGGATATCTGTGTTTTGCGTATTTTGTCCTGAGCAGCTGAAGTGAGGGTAGGGCTCGAAAGAAGCAGGGTTTACTGTTAAAGGTTCTGTATAGCTACGCAAAGGTCCACCTGAAGCCTTCGGGAAGTTCTGTAACTGAAGTCCTCGGAAAGTTTCCGTTTTTGGGGAAGTTCCCGAGAGCTTATTTGCAGAACTTCCCGAGGGCTTCACGGGAACTTTCCGAGGTGACCTGCGGAAAGTTCCCCCACAGCCCTCGGAAAGTTCCCGTAAATTGTCTGAGCATGGACGACTTAAAGGCAGTGGCTCGGCAAATCTCAACACAGTCAAATTTTCGCTTACCTGGGGTTATTCAATACGATAATTCCGAAAATCTACTTTTGAGAGCTTGAAAATGCCGAAAACGAGCGTTTTTCAACGCCCTTCCCTTTGGAAATGGACGAGTGCTGGGCTGATGATGCCGAATCGTTGCGGGACTCAATGGTTATAGCATTGCGGCGGGCAGCCTCCAATAGTGAGGAGGAAATTGCCAACTCGTCCAGATGCGTGTAAAAATGACCTGCGCGTGTAAGTTTGAGAGCAATTTTCTCGGCAAAAAAAAAGGCATGCTGTGCAACCGGGATTGCACTGTTTTCATACATGGGCAATAAGGAGTCTACCGCGTTAAAATTTTGAGTTGTTGAGGTTTGCCGAGCCACTGCCTTTAAGTACCATTGATTCAAATTTTTGTCCTCTTTTTTTACAGCTAAATTCGCTCTCTGATCTACTCTGTCTTTGCAACGTTATCGTCATGGCTTTTTGAGCAGCTCATAGTGACACCAAATCTTTACTGAATTAATTTTTATCCTGTTGTTTTCAAAGAGCGCTGATAACCGTTACATAGAGCAAACCTTTGGCTACTTGTATTTGTTTTAAATTACATGAGCCACGTTTACCAAATTCGTTATACTTATGTATTCAATAAAAACCGGGGCTTTATTACGCATACGACGTAAAAGTACCGAAAATTTCAAGAACTGCTTTTTCAAAGCAAACCAAACTTGATTATGTTGCATGAATAATGTTTAATAGAAATCATATTCCAATTCGCAGAAACTTCAAAAGCTGTCGTGTAATTGCTGCAGTTGCGTGTTTCATGACTTTGCCAAAACTCGAAACCTCCGAAAAAAAAACAAGTTTTTTGAAGGCAAAAAACAGAAGATGGAGAGAATCTGAAAATATCACCTTGTGGTCCAAGAATTGCCTATTTGATCAATACTTAACCTTTTCCGAAACTTTGGAATGAAATTTTCAAAAGTTAGCCTCATTTTGAGACGATAAAATTGATGGGTGGAGAATTTTAACACTTATTAGAAAAAAGCATACAACATTGTGGTTCGAAAATGTCTACGTAAGAAAGGGAAGGAAAAGCTGCATCGAATGCATTTTGAAATCCATTTAGGTCTTTATTGTGCGTGGTTACAGGTGGTTTGAAAAAACGGACAAAACTTTCGGGACAACCTAATATATTGCTGTGCAATGTGAAAACATATACCACAGACATTTACAGTCTGCTCCATCGGGATCATGCTGAATGGTTCGCATGAATTGCGCGCACGCAATGCTAGGGATTCGCGCCGCATATGCGCACTGTCGAAGAGAACGAAGAGATTGAAGAAAGGGCATACAAGCAGGCCTTAGGCATGACCCAAAACCGTAGCGACGTGAACTCCCGCCATGCCAATTTTGGCCTCATTAGGATTGGGGCAGACTGTACATTGCAAGTACAAGACAAAAGTGGCGCGAAACTTGTAAGCTTGTCTACGCAGGTGTATGAGGAGTAGAAATGTGGGGGATTGAATAAGGCTGCAGGAGTCGCATTTTCCGGCGGGATAATTAGTAATAATTTGCTAGCTAAGGCAGGACCTACGTAACTGCTGTATTAACATCTAAGAGTCATTTCTAGCTGGCGTCGCCTTCAAGTTGAAAACACATGCCATGAAAACTCACGGCTTCATGCGTACTCTGCTTTCGCTCTCCTCTTGGTTCACAACAACGCGACTTGACAGTGGAGTGTAGACTGCAACATTTTTTCCCTGCCAAAATAATATACCAAAGCTCACGTAGGAATGTTAACGCTGTTTGATCTAGAATGAAAACTCCCCATCATAATTATAGAAGTGAGTTACCTCAACCCAAACATGGGCTGTTGCTGGCACGAATATAGGAACATCGGATTGGCAAATTACTCGAGTATAACAGCTTGCTGTAGAGCAAATGAGGGGTTCCCAGCAGCTTTGGACCTCAAAATGGCTTTGATGAGAGGACTCCATAGGTGCAATGACATCTATCATTCACTTTCTGATTCAGAGTCACGGGCATGCTTTGCGTAAGTTCGAACAGGTTCGTAAATAAGTTTTTGGTTGATTTATCACTGGGTTCTTTGAGTTCGAACACCTTGTCGATTTCCTACTAATAAAAATCTATCAAAATGCCTTAGAACGCACTCATAAACTTGCTAACAGATGTACGCAAAGCGTACTCGTATCTCATAGTCAGGGCTCAGCAGAGGTGGCGTTTTCACATGCTGGATGTCGGTTTTTGAGAGAGGAAGCGAAAGAGAAATCGTATAATCTCAAGGGAAGAGAATTTATGGATGTGGCAAGATATTAGCAAGCACAGTTCTTACACTTACTAAGTTCGATTTTGAACCTCTAACGTAATTTTACCAATAACAGGTAATATAACATGTTACAAACACGATTCGTGTATAAACTTGTGGGTACACGTTCCCAACGTGTTAAAACATGCTCACTGTGCACAAGAAGATAACAATCAGCTTATTTATAACGATTAAGCAATATGAGCCTCAAAATTGGTATATAGCTTCGCGAGATGATAGGGGAAAAGTATGAACAATTGAAAAAAAATTATGTCAATGAAAGGAGTAAGTTTTTTCTATTTTAGGTTGCTCCCGAAATCTGGGAGCACCCTGAAGTTGCGCGGGAATAAATACCATTTTTTAGTTCGACCTATAGATACTCAATTTAACTCGAGTTTTGACCTCTCTGCCTTTGCTGGGGCCCTTCATAATATGAAAAACCTCCTTTTCTCGTCTTCTGTTGTTGTATCTTTGATTTTCCTGTTTTTTTTTTCAAACATCTGTCCACTCATCGTTTGCTGCACATTATAAACATACTTCCAGAAAAATACAAAAAATTTTCGTAAATTTCTGCAGTGTCAAAGGGATTTCGCTTCCAAAATTTTCGTATGCCACCTCGTGCTGGGCCCTGCTCCTAGTAAAGGGATGAATTATGCTTCAATTTTACAAGGCAAGGTGTGATAACTTGAGTTTCGTCAATTCTGTTGGTGATTCATGTATCATCAACCTCAACAATATTATAATCCCAATAGCTTACGGGTATTCCCCACAGGCTAGATTCCCCGCTTATAATCAAGTGCCGAATCACTCACCGTGAGTGGAACCTATCTCCGCCAAGCTGCGGCATCTTCTTTCTTGCATATATTTCCTAGACAGTCTGATTGTGCACGGGTCAGCTCCGCCTTACTACCTATATAAGGAGCCCCCATTGTATTATAGGTTGCTTCCCCCGGTTCAACACCGGGTTCGTCTCAATAAACATTCCAACGACTCCACTATCGACAGCGAGTCATTGGTTTCCACCAAACTGGTGCATCGACCAGTCAAACCACTTCGTATTCCATCTGCAACCGGAGGAATCGAGGCCACAAGACCCGCGTGGCAGGAAGAAGACAATCAACCAACTATCTGAAAATCTTTGTTTATCCTTTTCGTAAGTGATCCAAAGATGTGTAGGAGAAATCGGAAGAAATACCACTGACTATCTGAAAATCTCTGTGCATCCTTTTCGAAGTGAACCAGAGAGGTGTAGGAGAAATCAGTCGGTCGCGTGAACTTTTTCTTGAAAACTCTCTGTGCATCCTTTTCGTAAGCGATCCAGAGAGTGGAACAAATTTTCTGAGTGCAGCACATAACCACATAAGACCGTGAAACTTTCTGTGAATCCTTTTCGTAAGTGATCCAGTGAGCGGAGCAAAATTTTGTAAGTGCAATTTTCCAATCAATCTCATACATCTCTCGCAAATTCTATCCAAGAACTGGAGATCATAACAATGAGATTTGAAAGGAAGGTAACTCGGGTCACTGGAGCTCATTTTGCCAAGAAGTCAAAGTTCGACCAAGAACACTTGACTTTAAAGGATTGAAACCCAGTCCTTATCTGAAGATCCAAGCCACCTTACCAGTCAGCACAGCGTTCAAGCCATCCCGACACGCTTGCAAATCAGAGATCAGCACCACAGCTGCCTCTACTCGACGGATCACCAGAGGATACGTCTACAAGTTAACGAAACCTCGCTAACTTGTACCTCCAAAGCAACCAGCTGTCTAAGGACGAGAAGAAAATAGAAGCAAAAATGGCCGCCTTCAACTCTTCAAACACAAAACAACAACGCTTGCAAGCTTGTAAAATCCTACGAGTCCGAAGTGGAGAACGTAGACGTCCCTTCACATTATCAACAACAAAAGCGGAATGTGAAGAATATATCAAAGAAAAGGAGGAGTAATAGCGAATCTCCTCAATTCTTTGCAAAACGCTGCAATTGCAAGAAACACAGCTCAACGCTGCCATTGAAAAAGAACGAGAGAAGCTGATGGTTGAACTTAGCAAGCATTTGGAGTTGGAAGCACTCGTTCTTGAAGTGATGGCAGTCCAATGGCAAAACAGAATACAGTTCAGACAACATGAACTGAGGGAGCAAACGACACTTTTGCATACGCCTGCTCCTAGTATTCCGAGTCAGCCAGCCAGCGAGATAGGAAGAGGCTCAACAACGGAACGAAGTAAACGCCAGATCGGTATCCGGAAACCGCTCCTAGAGCTAGAGGTTCCTACATTCTCGGCAACTTCAGAGAGTTCATCAGTTTTTGGACAGTGTTCGAATACTCATACACTGCGACGAAGACCTAGCGGATGGTGACAAATTCCTTTTTTAAAGCAAGCGCTTAAAGGAACAGCAGCTGCTGCTCTGAACTGCATCCCTACGTTGGAAATAAGTACCAGATAGCTGTGGACATTTTGAAGAAGCACTTTGATCGCTCTGCCAATATGGCAGATATGCTCATCAATGAAATCGAACGACTTCATGGAACAAAAGACAATCCCGGAAGTTGCCGATAAACGTTCGAAGCAATCAATTCGCGCATTATTCACTTAGAACAAATCGAAATGATGATGAGCGCAGACAGAATTTGGCGTCGAATGACCCTGTCGAATACCTGAAGCCATCTGCGCAAACGTCATGCAGAAGGAAACCGTAAGTGGCGATCGCTTCGATGCTTCCGAGATATTAGACGTGATCGACGACATCATCTCTTTTTGAGAAACAACCGCACTAACGATGGAGACACTCCTTCCAAACACCTTACCCGCGAGCAGCTATAAGAACGCAGATGGCGGTCCGGCATGGGAAGAGCAGAGGAAATTTCTCGGGAAGTCTCGATTTCCTACAGCAGTCATTATTTGCAAGTCTCTGGGATACAGCGAAGAACCAATTCAGATCATCGCAAAGCAAATGAAGTACACGTTGGATGAAGCCTGCCGTATGGAAAAGAAGTCTACAGCTCAAGCAAGAAACCGCCAGTCATGTGCCAAAGCGTACTTCAGACGGCTTCAGCCATGATATTCAACGAGGCAGAGTGGGATTATCAATCCATAACAATACTGATTGACTCTGACTCCCAGCGAAGCTTCATCAAATCAAAATTAGTGAAGAGCTTAAGCTGCTAGTTATCCAAACGACGTCATTCACCGCATCAGGAATGGGAGAATTGAAAGAGACATTCACTTCCAATGAAGTACAAATTACTTTGAAAAGCCTTCACAAGGCAAAGAAGCTGAAAAAGATATCATTGCACACGAAAGAGAAGTTGACTGCCAAGCTACATATAGCACATCTCACAGATGCAGTTGTCCATTTCATTTAATAAGAACTTGAAGGTAGCTCAAGATACGCTGACTCAGCGTCTTGCGCGATCTCATTATTGGACAAGATCTTCTTAACCTCGTCACTGTTCGCACCGAAATGGTCTTGGAGGCTGGAGGAGGTTGGAACTGGAGGCTTCACGAGATTGCAAAAGCTTGCCTCCGAACTCATATTGACCCCAACCATTTTGGATATGTCACCGGTACAAGCCGTAACAGCGTGAGCACAGAGATCGTCGGCACTTTGGTTGTACATCCGCGATGCAGGAAGCCTCCAAACGCTTCTCACTCTCAACGACACCTTAAAATGGCTCACGACAAAAAAGACTTTCACCATTCTCAATCAAAACGCTACCGGTGGAAGCAACAGGAGAATCTTCCGAGCGCATGCTGAAGTAACATCTCAGAAGACCGCGAAGTCGTTAACGAAGAAGAGGACCCGGACAGCTGCTGCTAATCGCGAAGCTAAAGCAGACAGACAATGATGGTTGGCCAAAGCTCGCTGCATATCAGGCTCTAGTTCCAGCTCCAACACAAGGAGAGCGAATAGAACTTTTGCAGAACTCTTCAACCGACGACACAAGCCAAGATAAAAATAAAGGACATCCGAAGATCACACATCACGAACATCTGATCACGAAAACGCCGGCTATTACGAAGACAATCACCGACAACTACAGGGTGTCCCAAAAAAATGTGAACACTGTTTGATCGTTGATAACTCTCTTGCCTTCATGTCTTTTGCCGAGCTTGAGACACCATTCTATAGAGCGAGGTACAGCTTAGATCAACAGTATGGAGCGAATCGTCGATCTCTCTTCATTACTGTGGGATTACGGTACAAACTTCGACAAGGATTTTAGGCCATTGGGGGCTATATCCTGACTCGGAACAAAGCCAAACAAGCCAAGAATTTTTATACTACGGTAATGGGAGACGCTGATTCCGAATATGAAATTTTTACTTCACTATGATGCTTCTTTTCAAGGTTATCCCAGGTAAATCGTAATAAGTGAATTTCCAGCATTTGTCAGAAAAGTGATTACACGTTAAAACAGCCAAAAACACTCGTAAAAAATTGTGTAGTGGAATCAGCGTGCGCGAAAACCCTAGTACACGATTTTTCAGATTTTTTAAAAAAATTTTGTCAAGTGGCATCGTCCACAATGGATCCACATGCTAGAAGTTCATACCGTAATCCTACAGTAACGAAGAGCGATCGGTGATTTGCTCCATACTACAAATCTAAGTTGGTCCTCGCTCAATAAAATGGTGCCTAAAGGTCGGCGAAAGACATGAAAGCAAGGGAGTTATTAACGATCAAACAGTGTTCACATTTTTTTGGGACACCCTGTATTTTCTCAACTCAAAATTGACCCGGGCAGATCCGATGAAGAAAAAGAGACGACGACGAAAGGCGAAGCCACATTACGGAAGAGCAACGAGCAACCCATACAACTGTTACCGTAAACTCTCTTCCCGTCTATAGCTTCCATTAGTATATCTAAGTCCACACAATTCTATGCATTTGTTGTATCTGTGCCTACCAGATTAACTTCATGCTTGCTCGCCCGGAGTGTTGATAATCTATGAATCATCACCCTCAACAACCAATCTAATAGCTTAGGGATCGTTCAGACCGCGCACAAAGGCGCACGAAGGCGCACGAAGGCGCACGAAGGCGCATGAAGGCGCACAAAGGCACACGAAGGCCCCGTATGTTTGTCTTCATTATCGATTAAATTGAAAAACAAGCCTTCGTGCGCCTTTGTGCGCCTTCGTGCGCCTTCGTGCGCCTTTGTGCGCCTTTGTGCGCGGTCTGAACGATCCCTTACACTCATGAACACAGCTATACCTCAATTTCTAAGTACAAAGCTTTTAGAAGGTTTTGATTGTATTTATTTATCTACATTTCAGCAGATTTCGCCTCCTCCTTGCTCGCCCGGAATGTTGATGATTCATGTATAGGGCATACCAGCCACCATCGGTCGTGGGTACCCGAGGTTGCGAAAGCGCGACGGGCCAGCGCAAATTAGTACCCAAGCGCGAAAGCGTCGTTGTATCTGTGGCTAGGGTTGAATATTGTTCTTTTTAGCTAATTTGTACATAGCCTTCTCTTGCGTATATGATGAACTTCATTTCGTACTCAACTGCATGTTGGAATATCTTGTTTTCCGTATTTCACGCGAAATGAGAAGCATAAACACACTGAAACTTCTTTTCTTTCAAATCAATAATGGAAAAGGTAATTCGGCTTTATGCGACTCTGACTTGAATTCGACACTTTGATCACATGCCAAATCCTAGATTAGGAGACTTCAGAACGTTGCACACGTTGTTTATCAAACTTGTACTCGTTTCTCATCTAATCTTAGTAGTAAACCAACTGAATGGGGTAAAGAACATGTAACATTTTCACATCATACTTGTGCAAAGCGTGCTCGAGTCTTCTCAACTCGGAATAGATGATAATTTCCTGCTATGCATGAGCAAAATGTGCGCGTTCACCGTTCCTGCTTGAATATTTTTCATTCAAACAGCGCCATCATCTGAAATATCTAGTAATCGATACAGGTACGAAATCTAATGCCTAAAAAGAGAATATAAGGTAAACACAAGATGAATCAATATCATGACTCTAAGAACAAGGCTCGCTTTCGCGCTCGAGTGAAATCTCCTTTACTGTCATCGCGCGCGCGCGCTGCCTCTTCCCCTGGGTATCCGCGACCGATGGTGGTTGGTATGCCCTATATCATCATCTCAGCAATTCTATAATCCCAATAACTTACGGTATTCCCCACAGACTATCCCCAACCGCTTATATTCAAGTGCCGAAACACTCACCGTGAGTGGCACTTATCTTCCAGGGGCCGCGCCAAGCCGCGGCATCCTCTTTCTTGCATATATTTCTTGGACAGTCCGATTGTGCACGGGTCAGCTCCGCCTTACTACCTATATAAGGAGCCCCCGATTGTACTATAGGTTGCTCCCCCCTGTATAACACCGGGTTCGTCTCAATAAATATTCCAACGACTCCGCTATCGACAGCGAGACATTGGTTTCCACCAGAAGTTCTGACCGCGAGGATCGGACACCACTGCCAACACGCGCCGTTAGGTAAAGCGCTTGCCCCACTGCAAGTTCACCATTGTAAAATTGTTGCCCTCGCAATATTTCAGCTGTGCCACAAGTAGTCCGCAACGTTTGAGCAGTCCGTGCGGTCAATGAATCGACGATAAAAGCCAATGTGGCTCTGATTTTGATTGTCTCTGATCGACGTTGGAGGAGATTTTAGCCATAGTCAATTGCGTGAGGTAACCTTATGATATGAATGAATTCACTACCAACTCTTAAACGATTTTGCTATAAGATTTGCGATCGATTTGCGTGATCGAAGTTGGTATAAATGTTCAGGCACCTCTTGTAGAGCTCACTTTGCCCCGTCGGAGTATGGTCCAGAACTTATTTTCAGTAGGAAAAATATGGCTTACGGCGTTTTGACTTGATTTGGTGCAAGAATGATGCATCAACCTGGTGTTCTTAGAAAGATACAGCTCACTTAATCTTGAAAATCACTCAAATTCAAGGGACTGACTTGAAAAGCAAACTTGCTTCCAGGATGAGATTCTTTATCCGGTATATAGTAAATATCGACTGGTCCATGAGAACAAACCTACAATACTCGTGAATCTAGCAGCGCTATTTTTCAATGTGTGTGCTTGGCAGTCCGAGAAAATTTATTCGGAGGGGGGATTAGGATCTATGAAATGATTGAAAAGGGGGTAGATTCTGTAGTGAAAAGGCGTAGAGTTAGCCACCTTACAACCTTTTTTGAAATGCTTACCATTTTGGTCGGCTTATAACGTCAGAATTATTGAAAAGGGACATGACGGGAGAACTGAAACTTCAATTTGAAAATGGTTATGGGCCCGCGAAAAATTCGAAAAGCATCCCAAATTTTTTGAAGGGAACCCTCCTTCCCGAACAAAACTTCTCGGATCGCCGCTTGAGTGTGCTGATTTTGATGTCAATTTGGCACAATTGAATGTTTGCAAGGCTACATCCACGATTAATTCAGCCTTCATATCATATGGAAGCATTAATATGAGTAAGTGTGTAGAAATATGGGAAGTTCATTTGCCAAAGGTATGATTTGTTGAGGTCAACTCGCAATTCTCCCTTTATGCAAGTCTACGAGCGTATGAGTTGTTCGAATCATGGGAATTCAATACATATTTCCACATTTCCCGCTGTTCCCGCTTAAGCACCCTTTACCGCAAATTTGCAGCTGCAATCATGGATCTGTAGTCTTTTCTGGACTTTAGTTAAAGGCAGCGTCCAGGTAAGTCTGGAGGGGATCTCACGTGGACAGTAATTTTGGGGCCCTAACTGAGCCACTGCCCAACCGGCAGCTCAGGTAGTGCTCTAGCGGCTGAGATATTTCCCTCGAAATTGGACTCCGGGATCGTATTTCGCATGGATTCATGGCGTAACCCGTGGGTCCTCGCGCGAAACTGCCATGAATTCATACTAGTGCGGTCCTGGAGTCCAGTTTGGAGGCGTACAATACCGCTCTCAGAACATGCAAAATTTCCGTGAATGTATTGGAACTCCTGGAATTCCGCGAAGGTCCGGGACATTCCCGGAATTTCGCAACATTTCGGGATTTTCGCAAAATTCCAGGAATTTCGCGAAATTCCAGGAATTTCGCGAAATCAACGCGAATCACGCAAGCTACGCAGCGCTATAACTTTCTTCGGAACGAATATATTCTGAATCCGAAAGCAGCATTGTGTTCAGCTCATCAAGGCGAATCTTCTAATGTACAACATGTGCTTGCTATTTCGAATTCAGTGTTCTTAAAACTTTCTGCAGACGTCTCTTCGCAAAGGTGCAAAGCGACGCGTATTTTCCCAGTAGGTTCCAGAAGGGATCCTTCGATAGTACTTTTTCTGTAGATTATGGCGCGCCAAGAGCCGCACATTCCTTTTCAAAGTTAGTAGAAAAGCTGGTGAATTCTGGAAAAAGCATGGCGTTCTAAATTTTTCTCACCATAACCCTAAAATATGAAGCTCTTTAACTAAGCAGATATGATTTTCAAATCAGTTCAATTCGCTTGATGAATCTTCCCGCGTTGGCTTCGATAGTTAGACAGATCTGAGCTCTAGCGCGCGGTTCCTATTGATTTCAACCTGTATAAGAAAGCGGGCAAGGTTTCTGACAGATACGCGAGAAGTGCGGGCAAAGTTACGCACTTTCGTAGTGCAGTTACAGTCACCTCACCATATTACTGCAAAAAGACCATGTATTCCCCAAAGACCACAATTTTCGTAAAGAGCGTGTCCGAAAACTTCTGCAAGCGAAGTTTCCCTGCAATTCGAGATCATCGACATTTTGCCCAAAATCCACCGACGAGCTTCCGGAGCGTAAAACGAGAAAAAATGGAATAATCCGAACATATCGGAAAACTTGCTCGTAGAGGTTATTTGACCCGCTGATTACGAAAATCATATCTGCTTAGTAAAAGAGCTTCATATTTTAGGGTTATGGTGAGAAAAATTTGGAACGACATGCTTTTTCCAGAATTCACCAGCCCTTCTACTTCCTTTGAAAAGGAATGTGCGGCTCTTGGCGCGCCATAATCTACAGAAAAAGTACTATCGAAGGATCCCTTCTGGAACCTACTGGGAAAATACGCGTCGCTTTGCACCTTTGCGAAGAGACGTCTGCAGAAAGTTTCAAGAACACTGAAATCGAAATAGCAAGCACATGTTGTATAATGAGCTGAACACAACGCTGCTTTCGGATTCAGAATATGTTTATTCCGAAGGAAGTTGCGGCGAGTAGAATTTGGAAACGCGTTATTTTTTCAGAACTCACCAACGCTTTTATCTCTTTTAGAATAAAATTCTGCGGCCACTTTCTAGCGCACTGTAATCTACAGAAAGGGTACTATCGAACAGTGCTTACTGGTATCCTTTATGTTGGATACGCGCTGCGTTATATCCTTGCGAAACGGCCTTCTCAGAAGAATTTGAGAAAACTGGAAACGGGATATCGAGGACATGCTGTATATGGAAAAATTCGCTTTGATGAGGCGAACACAACGCTGCTTTCGGATTCAGAATATATAAGGAAGTTATGGCGCTGCGTAGTTTGCGCGATTCGCGTTGATTTCGCGAAATTTGTGGAATTTCGCGAAATTCCCGAAATGTCGCGAAATTCCGGGAATGTCGCGGACCTTCGCGGAAATCCGGGAATTCCGCGACATTCATGGAAATTTTGCACGTTCTGAGAGCGGTATTGTATATGTCAGCCGTTAGTGAGTCACCTGCACTGCCGCTTGGACAGTGCAGGGGACTGAATTAGAGCCCCAAAATTACTTTCCACGTAAAATCGGCATAAGTCCAGATCTGCCTGGACGCTGCCTTCAACGGAAACTCTTGAATTTAACATGAAAACCAAAAAGGCGACATTTATTCGTAGTCACCGAGGAATACAGCAAGTTCATACAGTCTGTCCCCCAGAGAGGTTCCCGTGTGTTAACCACAGCGCACTCAGTCTTCCTCCTTTCCCTCTTTTTGACATGTTCTTGAACAAATTCAAGGCATTTTCTTAAAGTGAAAGTCTCAAAACAATTGAAACAGCAATTTGTTATGCAATCAATAATACCTATGAGGATTTTTTCGGGAGATAAATGTTATATGTATGTCTAATGTAGGCAGTAAACGCGTGGCGAATTTGAAGGTTTGCAGATTTTTTTGAGTGAAGATCTGACTGAACTTTCTAAATCTTCTGATTTTCCTTTCATATTTCAAAAGCAACAAGTTTTTGCGGTTGTTCGAATGCCGTCTCGTAGAGCTTGCTTTGCCATATCTGCATTGTGTTTCCTATATTACGTAGGACGGGGAAAACTGCTACTTTTCTATTTTGCCTCTTGAGATATGACGCGGAAAGAGATAGATTCCTTTTTACTCTCTATACTCAAGCGAGACACCTAAATTAGAGCAAAATAAATTCGATTTGGAACATCCCCATTCCGTTCATCGTGTGAAAGTTAACAGCGAGGAGAGCATCAATAATGCGCCAAACCTATCAAATTCCAATCAAGGAGGCCTCTAGCGCCTAATCTCTTCTATAATATCCTGTACTGATCAGTGAGCCAAGATTCCTTCTAAACAAGAAAAGCATGGTTCAGACCGGATGCGAAATCAAGGAGCTATTTTCCTCCTTTCTCGATCTGTCAGCTGGATCTAGAGCTTTGCCTCAAAACTCTAGATCCTAGCAAAATGTAACTTCCGAGCAAAATTGAATTCGAGAGTTTTGTGTGAATTGCTAAAATTTAACTTCACCTTGGGATTCATTTGAACATAAAAAGATCCTCATGAATCATACTAGCTTAAGCTCTATCGGAAAGGTACATTTTCGGGGGAAGCGGTCAAGAGGCGCGATTTCTCCGGCTGTCACCAGCTCAAAACTCCAGTTTAGTGCTATGCGAGTCTTCAGAAATCTATCTATCATGACTTATAATAACGAGCTAAGAGTGTTTACGTGTATTTGTGGGTTTGTCTGTCTGTCTGTAACGAAATTCACAGAACGAGTCCCAAACAAGGTTTCAAGCCGCAATTTTTTGCACAACACGCACACCCACCATCCAGATTCACCATGTCAAAGCACGAGCAGATCCGTTGAGTAGGTCCCTCAAAAATCGCACCTTAAACGGATCCACTCAACGTCTGGCGCGCAATGTTGGGTCCGTATTACCACTTATTGCAAAGTCGTGATTATGTTTGGCAAGTGAATGTGCAAGCCATGATCTTTAGCCCAAAAACAGTGATAGAAGTCTACTACTCCACGAATACGGCGCCAAAACGAATTATTTGCGCAAATGGTCAGTTTGCCAGGTTTTTACCTGAGCATTTGAGAAGATTCTTGCACAGGGATGTAGCTCACCGTGGATATTATCCTTAAGGCGACTACCAAGCCATGAAATAATTCAAAAGTGTTCTAATTCTGCATTTGTTCTTCATCTTCCAAAGTTTCATCACGCAAAATATCGATCTCACACGGAAAAGCTTTCGGAATGAGTAGTTGTTTACGATTTATTCGTGAAGGCGGGCATTACACGGTATGTTTCAATGCTATGTTAAGCGGGAAAGAGTACATGGCATATAGATAGAAGAGCCAGTGCGAGCCTCTGCGAAGCAGAGGTGACGCACTGGTATATATATAAAACTCAAAGTTTGTGCAACTCTTGACCGCAAGTTTTTTATAGGCTCCTTTGCGCGTGAACCGATTGAGCTGAAATTTTGCATATGTATGTTTTCGATCCCGTAGATGGCTTTAGGCTACTTTTTGAAGCGATTCGCTGGATCCTTCTATTGATTTATTGATTTCGACACTTTGCAATGAAAGTGAAGTCTTATCAACTACTATCACATCCCATGCACATTTTGGTGCAAACAATGGCAGACAAGCTCATTCTTCTTTTGCGGTCAGAAGGACGCGGTACTTCCAGATGATGCTGCTTTGAGGTAGGCATTTGCGATACAACGCACTGTGCAGGCGGATATAGGCTGCGGGACCGCAGAAGGAAAGGGGGGGGGGGAAGTAGAAACGCACCAGAAGCGGGATGAACAAAGCTCGGCACAGCTGGCACCGGGTCAAGCTGGAATCATTTTTTTGGACGACAGCAAAGGGGATATCGTTTTTCCGGGTTCCGAGGCGGAGAAGAGCCGAATGCCGCCGGCATGCTGTCCATCAAACAAACAAAGAGTTTGTTTTCAGCCAAAACAGCCAAAACGCATATGACACCAAATTTGATGTGTGTATTTGCGTTGAGGAACTCGAAGTATGGCCCAAAAATTTATGAAAAATGTGAATAAAAGCTGTGCTGAACTTTTTTCTGAATTAGCTGGCACCGTGCCAGCTGGGTGCCAGCTGAGCTGGCACCGACACTTTGCTCACATAAGTTTCATACTTTTTTACATAAAATGTATCTACACCGTAAAAGTTTACATACAGAAAACAAACAGTTTCATAATGTTATCTTTTCAGCGTTTTATAGCCATTTGAAAATCACTCGGTCTGCTCCGCAATGAAAAAGTTGGCTGCTTCTGCTTCTCGAGATGTGATTCAACCATTTGAAAAGCTCAAAAAGCTGTGAAAAGTTGCTTCATGTAATCAGCATGCATGAAAACCCTACTACGTACTTTTACATAATTTAAAATTAATGACGGGTCTTCAAAATAGGTCAAAGGGGACTTTGTACGAGTTCAAGATCAAACGGGACTGGACTTCGTTTTGAGATTTCCCTGGTGACAGCTTCTGCCGAGCCCCGGGTATGAAAGATGGAAAGGCGTAGGTTTCGAAGCAGAACACATATTTTATGCGCTTCCTCTTTTCCCTCTGGCTCCGTGGCTCATGAACCGGACAAGACCGGGTTGCCAGCTAGTTATCACATAAAGTGCATTGGATTACAATCTGTCTTTGGTTACCACTCGCCGAGTATGATGGCTTTTGCTGGAAAATGAGCCGAACTATTTACTTGTTCTTAGCTGCATTTTCATGGGTTTTTGACAATTACTCTTTTGTATTGATTCCAAGGTAGCAAGATTGGGCAACCCATGCAACTCCAAAATATATCTCCTTTTAAAATGTCAGTACTTTTTTAATGTTATAAAACACTTATTATGTGCTTTTTGACGTCCATCTGGCAATAAAAATCGCGCCTCTTGACATACACCCCCGTTTTCGGCACCCTGTGCATCTTGCCGTGGTAGCGTAAGCAAACTGCACCACTTACAGCAAGCTAAGTTCGTAGCGTTTTCAGAAACCATCGAAATAACAGAAATTTGTCCGAATTCAGTCGATGGTGTGTCTTTCGCTGATGCCACAACTTTCTGCCACCTTGCCGTATTTTCAATTTCGCTATTCAAAAGCTCAGCAGGTCGGCTTTCAAAAAAGTCGTCTAACCAGCCTTCAAGATCGTCTTCAGATTCGAAACAAGCATCGTTCATATGGTTTCAAGAAGAGCGGGACACGTGATCATCTAGTGAGGCGAGGTCTGAGGAGTACAAGACGGTTTTGACGTCGTTTGCCGTACGGAGCCATTTTTTGTCATGCAAAAAACTCAATGGACCTGTATTTTGAGTCTTTTTTTAGTAGGGATTCGTTTAGAGTGCAAATGGGTTGCGTACGGCATGATCGACTGTTTTGGTTCTGTCTAGCAATTTTCAGGCAAAACCTCCTGCCCGTCCTGCAAAAAGTCTGTTCAGGGGGCACCCCATGAACTCTTAGGGCCGCATGCACTAACATTGCCGCGGGGAGGGGATCGCAGCTTAGAAGAAAGCTTTGTATTTCGAAACTCCAGTTACCTGGATTTCACCTTGTGTACCTATCTGTAAGTATTCCTACTACCCTTCACTATGAACATGTTGAAGAGGGGCGAGAAGCTAAATAAACCACATTTACCAGCTTTTGCATGATCCCTGATGATCTCTGGCGCTTTTCTTTAAAGTCATTTTTCTTTCTCCGAAGTTAACGAAAAACCCCCAAAGTTGTGCGTATTATCTAACCCGACAGTGCTAAGCATGTTAATGAAAGAACAAGTGATGTTTTGAAGTCATGAAATTTTCGATGATCCACAGGTCGAAATTTGAGGTTTACCGAATTGTTCGACTTTTCAAAAACTCATTTGTTCTCATCAGCAACATGCTTAACACTGTTATGTTAGATGTTCAGTACAACTTTGGAAGGTTTTTGTCAACTTCGGAGAAAGAAAAATGACTTTAAAGAAAAGCGCCGGGGATTATCAGGGATCATACAAAAGCTGGAAAATGCGGTTCTTACAGCTTCTCACTCCTGTTCAACATATTCATAGTGAAGGGTAGTAGGAATACTTACGGATAGGCACACAACGTGAAATCCAGATATCTGGAGCTTTAGAATATGAAGCTTTCTTTTAAGCTGCAATCCCCTCCCCAGCGGGGAGGTTAGTGCATGCGGCCCTTAGGCCCGTATGCACGTACATCCCCGAAAAAAAAGGGGAGGGGATCTGAGAGGGGAAGCGCCATATCTCGCTGCTTTAGATATCTTTCTTCCTTCTTCTCTATCGTACTTATAAAGGTTCTCATACCTTATACCTGCGCATAATGGATGCCAAGTTACTGCTATACAAGATTAAATATTCATTACTTCTTCCGATCCCCTGGGGATCCCCAGGGGATCATCTCACATTTTCAAAATCATTTATCTTCCTGAAAAATCAATGAAAACGCTACAAACGCCTAACAACTTAACAACCACGCTTCTCCTCTCAGATCCCCTCCCCTCCCCGCGGGGATGTACGTGCATACGGGCCTTAATTTCTTTGAACTATCTAATCCTTTTTGTCTCATGCTGACCGAAAACCGCCATTTTTTTATAAGGCAAAAGAAAATCCATGCAAGAACACTTTTTGTAAGAAAAAGTTTACAGATATCGGAAATGTTTTTGGTTTTTAAAAACTCCACATGTTCAATCAAAGTGAGTCAGCTTTCCTAGGAACCAAAAGGTTCGTTATAAAGAGCATGATTTTTAGCATTCTTACGTGGCTCTTTTCAGCGATATGCGCAACTTGCCGCAAATCAACCGGCTTTCAAAGAAAATATGACGAAAATGAAAACGTTACGAACTTATGAAATGACCTAATAGAATAATGTTTACTGATCTAATGTTTGCTGCATCATAAAAAAATCTGGCTTATAAACAAGATGAAATTTAGATAAATTAAGACTCTTGTTTTATTGCTATTATTTTGTTTTATAAGTCCTAGCGTCTGCATAATTAACAAGATCATGTAGTGCAGTTTTTGGCAGGGCAGCTTGTTTGGTCCCAAAATAGTCATTTGATCAACGCCCTGAGATCTTCTCGATACAAAACAAGCATCTTACATAAAGCCTGCGAGAGAAACAAACCATCATTCGATAGAGATTCGGGGAGTGCGTTGAATACTAGATAACCTCCAGTCAATTCTTGCAGCGGACCCTTCACGACATTTGCCATTTGGGGTCATATTTTTGTTCTCTTAAATGGTCGTCGAATTGCACTCGCAATTCGACGTTCCTTAAAGAAGTGGGAACGAAAATGATAGATACTTGTGAAAGAGACCTGATATTATATTAAATAGATGCTATGATCGATAGATGATTTCACTGAATTGACCTTGTAAGTTCGATGCGTCTGCATGGGTCGATCCAAATAATCTTCCGTCATCACCGTGTTCTGCGGAAGGACTAGTAAAAATGGAATGGAATAAGAAAATTCCGACATGTCGACTCAACTTTCTGTATATAAGAGTCTCTAATTGTAGTTCTTGTAGTTCCTTGTTATTTTCACACTACAGCTATAACTATCAAATTTGATTACTACATCGGTATAGACGATTCCCGTGGTATAGCGGGCGTGACCCTGCAGATATTTAAACAAGTCTAAGAACTTGTTGATCTCCATTTTAAAGAATTAAAATTTACTCTCTAGATATCAGAAAATGCCACGCGCATACGTTGGCAAACGTCGGCAAAGCTCCACCCACTATACTGTGGGGAAAGAACGATTAGAATTACAATGATATGACACCTAACCGATACTTGAAGATAGAAATTGTGGGCGGAGCAAAGATTTGCTGTGGCAAAGTTCAGATTACGTGGAATGCATTGCATGTGCCTTGAGATAGATAAGACGACAAAGTGAACACTGTGCATTGTGCATATGTGCACATGTGCATTAAAAATAAGCATTGATAAGCATTGATAAAGTTTAGATCATTAGAATCAATGGTTAATTGCTTCAGCTTCCAAAAAATATGAGGTATGAAAAAGACATGTCACATCCTTCTATATGTTGTCTGCATGTACGTCTGTCCTTACTTATGTTCCAATTGGAAATTTTTATTTCTGAACCGATCCGGGCCAAACTTTGCACACATACATTTAGGTTTGGGGAGGGTGTCGTAGGCTACTTTTCGTCATTAGTCTATATCAGAGAATTATGATTTTCTGCAAAATCTGACCAACGGTGCTGGGAGTTGGCATAGGGTGTTAAGGGGTATATGTCAAGATGAACGATAGCTGGTACCAGTTGCGCGCGGGGTCATGAACTGGTAATAACGTGTTCGTCGAAGCTCCGCCCTACTGCGGCGGACGAGTTTCTCGGACGATACCATCAAGTAAAAATCTTTAAATAGTCAGATACAAGCTTGTTGCAAGCTGTGGTGAAGCTTGACTACTTACAGAATCTTATTTTGATTTTTTTGTTTCTTTTTTGCAATCAATGTATAGTTGATGTGTTGTTCGTGAAATTCGAGAGATTTACTGATTTACCTATGAATGACCGAGTGACTCTCAGATATCCACATTTTTATGATGAAAAATGATCTGAAAAGCGATTTTCAATTTAACTGAAATTTTGAAATCTACTGTTATCCAAATTGCAACCAACTGAAGAAACATGAGTGAAGTATTAGAGAGTTTTCCAATAGCTGCAACGCATTCCTAGGCTAATTAACAAGGGGCGGAGCGATCAGCGCAGCGCGTACGGTACCCAGCTGGCGGCTGGCACAAGCTATCGTTCATCTTGACTGCCATCCGGGTGTTAAGTGAGCATGCTGTTTACAAAAATATTGACAGGACTGGGCGGACTCGGGTTTGGCAGCCAGTTTGAAAAACATGATATTTAGGCTGAGATAGATGTGACCGTGAGGTTCAAGAATGACTACTTACAGATACAAAGCCACACTGTCTAAACTCATACGAGCGGATATCCTTCCTGCAAAATACTAACAGAATAAAGTGTTCACAAGCAAAGTTGATTAGACAGCATACTGCATACTCCCTTAAGTATTTCGTTCCAAATCCAATAATACCCTAAGCAAAATCTCGAAAATTAGTGTAAGTACGATCTAAGACCAGGTGGCAGGGTCTTCAACCCGTGGACGTCATTTCTCCTTGCGCTGGCAAATTATGAATGAATTGTTCTCGGCTGCTTCGCGATATTGGAAAGTCTTGAATCCTTTAGAAAGGTTGTCTTTTGTAAATAGAAGAACAATCAAACATGCTCAGGCTGATAAGAAGTTGCTGGAATATAGAGTGGAAAAGGCTTGAAGCTTTGATAGCGAGTCCCTATCCTTGACGTTGCCTAGAGTCATCGACAATCGAGGATTTCTAACTAGCCGAATTGCATGGCATCTTGTGAAGTAACGGCTCATACTATTGAATGGAGGAGTCTCACTAACTGTCCGTTTTCTCGTTAAGTTGCTTGCAGACATGAATGTGCCTCCCCAGGTGTCATTGACTTATGTCGTGTGCGTAACAGCGTACCACGCGATAATATTTTGAGGGCCAGTATCTCAGTCTAAGAATTTCAGATTGTTGCACGTACAAAAATGATAATAGAACGAATGGTTGAAAAGTGTTCGATTCTATTCAGTACTAGCTGGTGTACCCGGCTTTGCCCGGCTGTTTTAGAATGAATCCAGGTTTAGCTTGGTTTATTTTTACACTTTTGCATGTAAAGTGTTTAATGAGATCTACCCAGAGATATTGTGACAAACTGATAGGCGGTCTTTCCAAGGTTTTTATTTTGACTGTTTGATAAGGAAGTCAATAACAAAATGGATAGAAAATAGCACGAATTTGATGGATTGTCGATTAATTCATAATTCTTGTTTTTCAATGCAATTCTTGCCAACGTTCTACGAATCTATAGTCGTGATCAGTACTGATTAGAAAGTGAACTTGCCTCCAATATCTTAGAAACTTCAAGATAACGCTCTTTGATATACAACATTTCGTGTTCTTCCTTGTGGCGCGTATATATATAGATTGTTAGGAGATCCAACTCTTGAGCAGGCCACGTAGAGTTGACCATGTGAGAAACATGGATTCTCTAGATTGACGCCTGCTACCTTCAATGATTGTCCTTGAGCTTTGTTAACCGTCATGGCAAACGAAAGTTTGATTGGAAACTGAAGACGTTTAAATTCGAAAGGCAGCCCAGTTGAATGCAGTAGTATACGTGGAATAAGTTCGGTGTCTCCTTGAAATGTTCCACTCAAAATTGTCGCTTCAAGGACGTGGGGCTTAAGATCTGTAACGCATAGCCTTGTGCCGTTACAAAGTTTCGGTGGATTTATGTTACGCAAAAGCATGATCGGAGATCCAATTTTCAACTTCAGTTCGTGAGCTGGAAATCCAGGAGGCTCAAGAGAGTTGAGAAACTCCACTGGAAAATTGACGGCTTCATCCTGATTAACGATGCTATCAATGGACCTGTACGTCACAGCAGGGCCAGGAATACTATCTTGTATGATAGATTTCATAGTGCTTACACATTCATTTCTCGGTGCCAGTATGGCTCGTTCACAGAGCCAAAGGTAGTTCTGATGATTGTTGCGTATATCCGGGAATACTTTCTCTATAAGCTCATTAACGGACAACACTACTTTGCAGAATCCTGGAGGAAACGCTATTAATTCAGTGGTTGGGTCCGTGAAAAGCTTTCCGTCTCCAAGGCGAAGAAGTTGCTGAGCGAATTTTCCTGCAGCCGTATCGCCAAGCAGATGCACCCGCATGTTTGTTTTCAGTGTCAACTTTTGCACTTGTGCCCACAGAACGGAGGACTTAAGGCAAGCGTTCAATTCGTCAGCTGGTGTTCCTTTCGGGATAATGGGTAGTGTTTGACGAAAATCGCCGGATAGAAGAACTGCTAGGCCTCCCAGAAGTCAATCACTTTCCCTTAAATCTCGCAAAGTGCGGTCCACAGCCTCAAGAGCCTTCTTGTGCGCCATCGTACACTCGTCCCAAATTAACAGTTTGCATGCTTGCAGTACTTGTGCCTTTCCAGTACCTCTGCTAATGTTACACACTGGGGCTTCTGAGAGCGTAAGATCCAAGGGAAGATTGAGAGCCGAATGCGCAGTACGACCTCCATTCAATAGTGTAGAAGCAATTCCCGATGAGGCAACTGCAACAGCTATTCCCCCTTGTCTTCGGACCTCTGCATGCAGCAAGTTCATGAGGAAGGTTTTTCCTGTACCCCCAGGAGCGTCGAGGAAAAACAATCCTCCGATATCGTTAGTAACCGCGTTCATGACCGTATTGTACACTAACATTTGATCTTCTGTCAACAGACTCGTGGTATTTTCAACAAATCTCTCGAGGGAGTTTACATCAAAGGCTCTTTCCCTCAACACATCATCGTTTAATGCGTAGTCACCGCCACGATTGGGGCTTTCCAAGCCGAGCACGGATAAAGTCTGACCTGTAATTGACATACATCTGTCTTCAATCAGTATTAGAGCTTGATTGAATATTTCTTCAGAAAACTGCAAATTTTCTTAAACCACTCTACGCTTTTCTCTGAGTATGTCTTCACTAAGATGTTCTTTGTAGTTCTCCCAAAGAGCTCGTGGATTTGAAGGGGAGCATGCTGTTAGAATAACAGCAAAAAGACTACGTATCTGCTCGGAGGAACAGGTGAGGGATGCCTCTGATATGGTCAAATTCCAGTGTTCGTCGTTCTCGAGCAGACCTAATCTCTGACAGGCTTCTCTAAACGTTTGACAGTGTTCCCCGTTGACAGTCCTCAAATCCGCGAATGACGTAGGTCCGCGAATTGTGTGAAGAAGCATTCTTAGATAAAAACATTCAGCATTTCTCGGATGTACTGTGTAGACCCGACCTATAACGTCTGATGCATGAATGCCGTCTTGTCCGGGAACTAAAGCGCCTTGCTTTCTTGCTGAGAACTTTTTAGTCCTTTTGTCCCACGTAAAATACTTTGGCACTTCGGGATATAGGAGGGTCCTAGCAAATGAATTCTCTTGGCAGAGTAAGAAGAACGCAGTCAGGGTTGTGTTAGGTGGATGATTGGCTCTTTCGCGTGCATTGTCGGCTGTGAAGTAAACTCGCTGACCATTCTCTAAATGGACGGCTAGGTGGACGACAGCCGGGTATCTATCATGTATTTTGTAACTCAGTATCCTCCACACCGCTTCGCTGCTACTTATATATCTTCCCATTTGATATTGCGTGACTTCGTCATTAGAAGTACTCCCACTTTCAAGGCAAAACACAGCTATGTCACTACCTTTGTTAATATATTTACATATGTATTTGATGGACTTGACTGAGTTGCAATATTCCACGTTAATATGCGCCTGAAACATCTTAGAAAGAAGAGGAGTATATGGCACTACCCATCTGTTATCAATGTCGACATCTGTGAGCTGCCCG